CACCCTGCTGCTGACGCGAGGAGGACGAAAACCAGGGATGGGTGCATGGATGTACCGAGAAGGGACGATCGACGAACGGTTGTTTGACGGCACCTCCCCCTCCCCCTTCCCCCCCGGTTCCCCTTTTTCACCCTCTGCCCCCTCCTACCACTGACGCACTACGTGAAGCTACGGTATCGCATTCACGGTCCACTGCCTCAGGATTCGGGTCTCCACCCCGCGCGTTTCTCTGCGCACCGACTCTTTCTTGTAAAAAGAGAGAATACAGAGGATACACCAACCCTCGTCGGCGATCCGTAACCCCCGATCGTCAGAATCGAAGGTATTGCACAACGAAACGTACTTAGCCAACCGCTACATAAATAACGCATCTGCCCGTTGCACTTCGCTGCTGTATATACGTACGCTTTAAGCGGCTATGCATTTTTCGGTTCGTTGGAAATAGCGTTACGTTGTTTAATTTAAATGCAATCGAAAATTGTTAATTCTATCTACCTTGCGTCGCTGTTTTATAGATTAGAGACTTAATGCGTATAATAATTACAATAATGATTAAAGTTCAGAATACATTAACATTATACTCATACAACACAGAAAATTGCAGCAATGTTGTTACAATGTCGCAGCAATATTATAATGTTGCTACAATATTGCTGCAATGTTCTGTGCTGTATGGGTATAGTTATAAAGAAATTACTGAAGAAATCTGATACAACACAGAAAATTGCAGCAATATTGCAGCAATATTGGTACAATGTCGCAGCAATATTATAATGTTGCTACAATATTGCTGCAATGTTCTGTGCTGTATGGGTATACTTATAAAAAAAATTACTGAAAAAATCTGATACAACACAGAGAATTGTAACAATATTGCTACAATGTCGCAGCAATATTATAATGTTGCTACAATATTGCTGCAATGTTCTGTGCTGTATGGGTATAGTTATAAAAAAAATTACTAAAGAAATCTGATACAACACAGAAAATTGCAGCAATATTGCTACAATGTCGCAGCAATATTATAATGTTGCTACCATTTTGCTTCTGTGCTGTATGGGTATAGTTATAAAAAAAATTACTGAAGAAATCTGATTTCATGTTTGTTGACGAAAAAAATTAATATCAATCTAATCAATGAGATCTGCATAAAAAAATTTCCCACGTGGAAAGAGTTACGTTATAATACGCGTAAAAAGTTGTACATTATTCCTCGCCTTGTTACATACATTAAAGTAATGATGAACTTTGATCGAGAATTTAATATAAGATAGATTTTGTGGAAACAAGGCACATCGATAGATAGATTATGAGATGAATGTTGGAGATTATTCCAATTCATACTGTGACACAGAGATGATTCAGATATCGCGCAGCTTATATCATTCGGCGTCATGTTTGCTTTCGCACTTGAAGCCAGGCATCAAATGCATGTATAATCCGTATTATCTAATAAATAACAAGTATTTTAAAAATATTCTTTTTTGTATAATATGATAAATATACATGTGCATTTTTCTCTAAATAAAATATTATAATTATCATAGCACAGATACATATATATGTGTATATTTATTTATGTATTATATATATTTTTTTATAATTTTATATAAAAGGGACACGCTGTATATATTTATATAAATTTTTTTCAAAATAATCATATTAATAGATAATTATAATTATTTAATAATTATTTATTATTAAATGATTATAATTATCTATTATTATAGTTATTTTGAAAAAATTCATATAAATATATACAGGGTGTCCCTTTTTAAAGTTTCCACTAGAATATTTCTTCAAAAAAGCAATGTTCAGGAAAAAAATGTTTTAGACAAAAGTTGTAGAGTTTTAAAAGTTCTATAGAATGGTCATATCTGTTTGATCTCGAGTGGAGGGGTCAAGGTCATATGGAATTCAACTTTGTTTTTTTAAATGGAACTCCCTATTTTTCTCTGCATATTCTTGTAGCTTATCTCGAGAGCTTTCCAAAACACCATAATAAAGTATTTTTTAAAGTATTTTTTGTCAAGTACTTTTCGAGTTACGAGACTTGAAATAATTTCTTAAATTTACACCATAAAAAAACATATGTCATATTTGATACGTGTTTATTCGACACCATGTTATATATATTTTAGCGCGCGTTAGAATGTGATAGATGGGATAGACGCGACAAGAGATTCTTATTCTAACAAGCATGCATTGGCTTTTTGCCAGGCCGTGATGCCGGACCATTAACGAGCGGGCATTGCTTATCAGTTGCTGAGTTCGCGCTACCGCGCCGTCCGATGACCAGCCGTCCGATGAAACTGTTTCTCTGTCCTCGTATCAACTTGGAGAGACCTCTGCCGTCTCATAACTCGTCGTCGGATACCGGCTGTAAATGATGAAAACGATCGGCGTTGATCGATCTATCTTCTATCCCTGCTCTATTGGTATCTCTGTCGTACCTATTGGTCGATCGTACAGCCCGATTATCTATCATTTTATCCTTGTCGACGTTTTTATTAATTACAAGCATCGCACGCTATTCGATTCATCGCATTATTATGAAATATGTATGTAATTTTTTTTCTCACGGAGATTAATTAACATTTTTTCCTTATCGATGATAAGCGTAATAATAATCAGCGTGTGGGCTGATAGTGTCCTCGACATATTCACGCGCCTTTCGCATACATACATATCCCAGCAAACACCAAGTAACAGTTATATAATTGTTAGTTGTAATTTTCCACTCAACAATATGTAACTGTTACATAACATGTAACAGTTATATTATGCTAAAGTCACAAGTAAGATTTATATAACTATTAGTTGTAATTTCCTACTCAACAATATAACTGTTATGTAACAGTTACATAACATGTAGCAGTTATATTGCTGAGTGGGAAATTACAACTAATTGTTCTATAAATAATTCTATAAATTGTTCTATAAATTACTTGGTGTTTGCTGGGTAAACTAGTAAGTCATTTTCAATAAACACCAAATAACAGTTATATAACTGTTTGTTATAATTCCCCACTCAACAATATAATTGTTATATAATAGTTACATAACATGTAACTGTTATATTGTTGAATGGGAAATTACAACTAACAATAATATAAATATTATTTGGTGTTTGCTGGGTTAATTAATATTGCATATATACCCAGCAAACATCAAATAACAGTTATATAACATGTAACAGTTATATTGTTAAGTGGGAAATTACAATTAATTGTTATATAAATGTTACTTGTAACTTTAGCATAATACATTCGTAAAATAACAAGAAAAACATTAATTAAAAATTAATGTTTTTCTTTAATGTTTTAATACATTAATGAAAAATTAATGTTTTAATACATTCGTAAAATAACAAGAAAAACATTAATTAAAAATTAATGTTTTTCTTGTTATTTTACGAATGTATTATGCTAAAGTTACAAGTAACATTTATATAACAATTAATTGTAATTTCCCACTTAACAATATAACTGTTACATGTTATATAACTGTTATTTGATGTTTGCTGGGTATATATGCAATATTAATCAAAAATTAAAAGCAAGATACAATTGCAAGTTGCAGATTCATACAGCACAAAACATTGCAGCAATATTGCCGCAATATTGCTGCAATGTTCTGTGCTGTACGGGTAGTGTATTTATTTAAAAAATAGAATTATATATTCTCAGCAAACACATATAACAACATATAACAGCATATATAACAGTTACATAACATATGTTTGGCGGGAATTTGCGGAGTCCGAAGCGAGGAGCGAGCCGAAATTCAAATATGGCGGAAAAAAGTATCGGAAGCTTTATTTAAAAAATAGAATTATATATTCTCAGTAAATACATATATAACAAATATATAACAGTTACATAACATGTTATATTGTTGAGTGGGAAATTACAACTAACAATTATATAAATTAATAATAATTATATATTATATTATATTATATTATATTATATTATATTATATTATATTATATTATATTATATTATATTATATTATATTATATTATATTATATTATATTATATAATTACATAATATTATATAATATTATATATAATTATATAATAATGATATATTATATAATTATATAATTATATTATAATTATAATTATAATTATATAATAATTATATAATTATATTATATTATTAAATTATATAATAATGTATATTATATAATTATATAATAATGATAATAATTATATAATTATACAAATTTTAATTGGTGTTTGCTGGGTTGATATATAGGTTTTCCTTTCCATTATTTTGCGTATAAATTCTAATCCCATTATTTATTCGAAATGTCAAAGTGTCACGTGGCACCTGTCAAAATTACCCATAACGCAATTGCAAGTTGGAGCGAGACGTATGTTCGGCGGGAAATTCGCGGAGTCCGAAGCTAGGCGCGAGCCGAGATTCAAATATGGTGGAAAAAAGTATCGGAAGCTTTATTTAAAAAATAGAATTATATATTCCCAGCAAATATATATTCAGTTATATAACAGTTATATAACAGTTACATAATATGTAACAGTTATATTGTTGAGTGGGAAATTACAACTATATAAATTATATAAATTATATAAATTAATAATAATTATATAATTATATAATAATTATATATTATATTATATTATATTATATAATTAAATAATAATAATAATAATTATATAATTATACAAATTTTACTTAGTGTTTGCTGGGTTAATATATAGATTTTCCTTTCCATTATTTTACGTATAAATTCTAATCCCATTATTTATTCGAAATGTCAAAGTGTCACGTGGCACCTGTCAAAATTACCCATTACGCAATTGCAAGTTGGAATCGGAGCGAGACGTACGTTCGGCGGGAAATTCGCGGAGTCCGAAGCTAGGCGCGTGCCGAGATTCAAATATGGCGGAAAAAAGTGTCGGAAGCGCCGTGGGTCGGCGAAGAGCGAAAAGTGCTGCCATCACGGAAGCGCTCGGCGACGCTATCGGCGGCTCCGCTCCCTCCAAAATTGCGCATACATTGGCAACATTGTTTTTTGGTAGTTTACAAATAAAATGGCCGATTGTGAGGCTAGTTTGGTACGGACGATAAAATATGCAATTATGTAAAATTAATGACCATCGGGCGTGCGTGCGTGTTGGTAATAACCGAGCAACGTGAGCGGGAAACGCGGAAAAAGTGCGCGGGGCGCGAGCGAGAGTGTGGGAGTGTCGCGGGAGGAAGGTGGAGGTTGTCTTCCGAGGACCCAGTGGACGCCGCGGCAGCGAGGGACGAGTGTAACGAGCGTGGTCGTTGCCTCGCGATCTCCAACACACTGAAGTGGGCCGTCAGTCTGAGCGCGGTGTGCTTTTTTCTATTGGCGCAGGCACCGGCGCGGCAACAATACGAAAGGCCGAGTCTCGGGATCCACGGAAACACGGAGCTGTCGTTCCTGCTCCGATATTACGGCGATGCTCCGATCGCCCCGTCACGCATAAGGAGCCCTCCTTCAGGACGCGTCATCTCCCGGGGCCCGCGTCGCGATCCCAAGATCGTCGAGAGCGCCTCGGGAGCACGCTCGATCACTCTGGTCCGATGATAAGTTCGCGGTATTAACCACCTTGCAGGCCTCCCTGTAGATCTATGTTGGCCGAATAGCCGGGGACGCGAGGAGTTGGCGGGTTGTAATTGTTGAGTCTCCACTTTACGGCCCGGTCTCTGACAGATATGACAGCTGTATTTGACACTCGAGATACTGGACACTGATACCCGAGATACTGGAGTGTAACGGGTACGTTTATTTAGAACCTCTCAAAATATTTCCTACGGATCAGTTTGTTGTAGTGGAAAGGGTCGGCGCGGAAGATGCATTGGTAGAAACGGAGGAGGTGCCGGCAACCAGTACCGCGTCGAACCAGACTAACCCATCCATTACAACACTGACGAATATGTGTACTACTCCTGGCAATGCGGGTGCAGGATTCGGTGGGTACTCTTGGTCTTTTAGCGGGCCAGGGACCGAGACCCGGGAGAATGCCCAGAGCGAACTCGCGACGAACATCAGTTATGCCGTCAACAACAATCAGGATCAAGGATCCAGTCAGAAGATACAGGTTGACATCAAGCCGGCGAAGGTCGCAGCCACCACTCACCGTCGTCCAATGTTTGCGATGAACGAAGGTTGCCAGCAAACACCCACTACGCATCATGGCCATACAGCGGGAGCGCATAATCAAACAACTCATGGTACTCATGTTCGCACTAAAAAGCATCACGACGTATTTTCATTAACGTGTGACAAAGGCGGTTGCAATTGCGACGCGGCACATCCCACACCTCCACCCTCCCTGTTCTCAAACACCTTAGTTTTTACAACAGCCGATAAGCATGCCATGAGCAAGCACTTCATGACACCACTTGGACCAATACAGCTTACGGCGGAAGAGTGCAATGAAATTTTAATGAAGAGAGCAGCCGCTGCGTCTAATCAAGCCAGCACGGCGAACAATGTGGCGACGAGTCAGACGGACAGTACCGCCCATTTCGGGCACGTTCTGACCCATGTGAATACGACGCAGATCGAGACCAAGGTCAAACAGCAGCAGGATATGGGGAGTCAGGTCCGGGTGCCCAAGGAACGACCCTACTCCTGCTCCGAATGCGGGAAGTCCTTTCTATTGAAGCATCATCTTACGACGCACGCGAGGGTGCACACCGGGGAACGGCCACACATTTGCGTTCATTGCGGCAAGAGTTTTGCGCACAAACATTGTCTTCATACGCATCTGCTACTGCACAGCGCCGAGAGACCGTATCAATGTCGCGAATGTAAAAAGTCCTTTACATTGAAACACCATCTTGTAACACACACTCGCGTACACACCCGGGAACGGCCGTTCGTTTGTCAGGAATGCGGAAGGGCATTCCCTCTAAAACGTCACCTGGTGACGCATAGTAAGTTTCATTCGGGGGAGAGACCTTACGTCTGCGAGGAGTGTGGGGAATCATTTTCCCAAAAGGATCATCTTACTATGCATTCACGCTTCCATGGCAGTCTACATCCGTTTGTTTGCCATGATTGTGGTGCAACTTTCCAGAGGAAGTTCGAGCTGGTTAATCATGGCCGGCTGCATGGCAGAGTTCCACACTCGTGTTCCGCCTGTGGAAAGGAATTTCTGCAGAAGAGAACACTTTTAGCTCACATGCGCTTACATACCGGTGAAACACCCTATGCTTGCACTGTTTGCGGAGAAGCATTTCCTCGAAAGGCAGATCTGGTCGCTCACTCAAAGATTCATAATAACAATACAAATGCCGATGAGAAGTCTCTTACGTGCAGGTGAGACATCATATCAGTAATCACACCAGTTTATTAATTTTATTTTTCAAAATATGTAATAATAAATCATTCTTTTAGAGTCTATTTACAATGATTAATATCAGTATACCTTTGACAATCACTGTAGGATGTATCACATGTCCAAGAAAAGTTGTATACTTTGAATATAGAATTCAAAATGTACGGTACAATGCTGCGAGTTGATATATGGATACATATTTTGATACAAAATTTATAATAGAACCAGATCAAATCCTCTCAATTGCAGTTTTTTACTTAAGAAAGTCGAAAAGAAATATTAAAAAGTATCTTTTAAAATGTATGCGTGTACCTGTTGAGCAAAGCAAAATGAATCCCGAGTTTTATAGTTGAGCAAGAAAAAAAACGTAATTCTCAAATATGTGTTTATTGTATGAACATACATAGAATATACATATATTTTATCTCATTTTTGAAGAAATAAACATCAATTCCTAATGAATAATTATCATTTCAGGGAGTGTGGACTAGATTTCCCGAATCGAGAAGCTCTAAATTTACACCAAAGGTTACATACTGGTGATCGAACACTCGTAACGGACCTTTGTGGACTAGCGGCCGCCTTCCAGCAAACTCCGGCACATTTTCTTACCCCAAACACTCCAACGACTCATCAGGTAATGACCAGATCGTCTCTACAATTAAGATACGTTTACCAGAGGGAGATATTTCAAGATATGTAGATTTTAACTTAATTTTTGTAATGAAAATTTCGTCTAGAAAGCAATCACGTTATTATTTGATATTAAATGTACGCTAATTTTGTCTTAAAAAGAGTATTACTTATACTTCTCCCAAAAAGAAATGCTATTTGTTCAATTCTTGTCTCGCGAGTAAAGATATTTTATTGCGGAACTAGAAAGCATTATGCGCGTTCAAAGCGTAAAACATGTAAATGATAAATAAAATATGTACACAGATGAACGGACCGATAGGAACGCCTGGTGTTAGTCATATGCACGGCGCAACTCAAACGTCACCGCCAGTGGGAACAGGGCCGAAACCTAAACCACACATTTGTCCTGATTGTGGTCGCGGTTTTGCACAGAAGCACGGTTTGTCGCAGCACCAACGACGCCACACAGACGGCAGTTGTCACATAAGATCCCATGTATGTGACAAATGCGGCAAAGCTTTCTTCCAAAAGAACCATTTGTTACTACATCAGCGTCAACATATGGATCCGCCACCTAGTATACTTAGACAGCAACAAAGGCAAGCCGCCCAAGCTGCTGCTCAGCAAGCACAGCAGCAACAACAGCAGCAACAAGCGCAACAACAGCAACAACAGGTCCAGCAGCAGCAACAAGTGCAACAGCAACAAGTGCAGCAGCAGCAACCGCAGCAGCAGCAAACAATGACCGTCGATACGAAAACGATTCAACTGCAAGCAATACAGCAACAAGTACAACAACAGGTACAGCAACAGGTGCAGCAGCAGCAGCAACAGCAGCAGCAGCAGCAACAACAGCAGCAGCAGCAGCAACAACAAACGCAGCAGCAGCAAGCATGTTCCGTGGACGCTAAAGCAATACAGTTGAATGTCACCATGTGAGACGGTATAAAGACGAAGGACTGGAGAGTCCTTGAAACAATAGCACTCCCAAATGCGCACCCCGCTGCCACCCTCTGCACGCACTTCTCTTGTACTAACAATATACATTAGATATATATTTATTATCTCTAGATCCAAGTACGGAATAATCGATTTTATTACAAGAGTATATAAGAATATACAAAGTATACATACTATATTCTAATTAATATAAGGCTTGTAACAAGAAAATAAAAATAACCACATATTAGTGTTTTACATATACTTTATAAATATACAAATATAAAAATAAATATATATAAATATATAAATATATACTCTAGATATGTAAAATGAGACTAAACAAATTAGTTGCCTTAACGAGAAGAAGAATTTTAATGAACATATTAACATATTGTTTGGTGATTTTTTCATTTACTTTTATTTAGTAGGACATCACTTTATAAGAAAGTACATATTAAATAAATCAAGATATAAAGAAAAAAAATAAGTTCGCCGTGTATCGCTGCTTTGTTGTTTATCCTTCTTCATACATTTGTACGATGGATAATTTGTGTATGAAACAGAGAAAAAGAAAGGGGAAGAGAGATTCTGTAAACGATTTTCGGCGAAGAGAAAGAGGGTGGCAGATAATGCGCATTTACGAAGCATTTTTAAAGCTTAGATTTATCCAAGATAGCATTTTAGTCCCGCGCAATTTATATTTTTACGTTAAAGGATACGAGCGAACTGCTTGTTAAATTTTAGAAATACGTAAGAATCCCGGTTTTATAAAATCCAAATATCAATAAATGGATGTAAATGTTTTTTCGTGAGAAATTAACGCGATTCTCGTACCGGCGGCATATACGATATGTATACATTATAAACATGAGACTAATAACGTATATCAGTTTTACATCAATCATGGACGGTATGTTTGAGAAAATATCGCAAAAAATTATACATGCATATTCAGGGTGGCCCCGAACGTTCCGGCCAGATTTTGAGATCTTATAGGAAATTTAATTCTGAACAAAAAATTTCCTATAAACATGGGTCGAAAAATGCTTCCTGAAAAAGTTATCGCTCAAAAACCTCTGATGAAGGAAGAGCAAAAGATGAAAAGAAAATGAAACTAAATAAATTTCTTGAAAAACGTCTTTATTCATTTTCTACTATTACGTGTTATTACTAAAATATTAGTTGAAAAAGAAAAAAAAATTATTTTATTTTCATAAGAGAAAAAGATTTTTATTTTTTATCTTTATCGTTTTTTTCAAGAAATTTATTTTATTTGTTTATAGGAAATTTTTTCTTCAGAATTAAATTTCCTATAAGATCTCGAAGTCTGGCTGGAACGTTCGGCGCCACCCTGTATATATTATATATATAAACAAGTTGAAAGATTGGTACATGTACTATCGATGCATGTAAAAAAAATCTTTGTAACGCGCGTTTAGAATCGCGGAAATTGCACTTTTAATTGAAATATTTCTTTATCGCGATAAAAAAGTGCGCGTCGAGGCAGATACATGAGATTGCTTAGCGGGCTCTTTTAGCAAAATGCAAATTTCATTTCTTTGTCAGCAGGTATATAACTGATAGATTAGCTAGAACAATCGGAAGAAATACGAATAAAGGTTTCCTACATAGTTTTAAAATACGCATCTATCTCTTTTTTTTCGAAAGCAACGTAAAGTGCTGCTGATGTGTATCGATATTCGTATATATGTGAAGGGACTGCGAGGCTTTTATAGTGAGAGTCTTATCTATCTGTGCCAGTTTTTCTAATCATTTCTACAGTGACACTCAAACAAAAATTATGAAAATTAATCGATATATTTTACATATTTTTACATTTTTATTTTACATATCTTTTCTTTTTTTTTTAGTTAAACTTTTGCGTTCCCTACATTTTGGTTACAAACTTATTGAACAATTTGAGAAGTTCCAGAATACTGTGGACATCACATCGATATGTAAGTAAAGTAAGTACATATCGCGCAATAATATAATGGAGGTATGTCAGATTGATTAAGAAGTTTGTGCGTTTTTCTTTCATTGTATCATATTAGTGTAAGAGCTAAACACAAAAGATGCGTAAAGGATTAATACAATTTTGTCATTAATCTAGTATTTTGGAAATCTGAGAGATATGTTTATACAAATATATATTATTTGCCATGTTTTATACAAAGAGCATACCAGAATTGGCGCAAGAATTAATATGCATCGTTTCTTGTCATATAAAGTCGACTGATCGAGATCAAAAGGATCATAATTTATTACAATTTATTATTAATTTTATACAATTTTGGAGATCATTGTTTATACAAACGTTGCAACGTTGCAAATTTCAATTTCATAATCTCGAGCTTAAATTCGCTGTTAAAGACTACTTTAAATCGAATAATGTATGATATTATTTATTTTTCTTAATTTCTATAATTTTATTTATTTTTCTGTTTAATGTATAATATTTTTTATTTTTACCTCTCACAAGTTTAATTCGCAAAATATCTTCGTTTTAGCCAGATTATATAATTATTGACGTTTCTTCAATTGAAGGATGAAAAATTGGCCACGTTTCCCTCAGAATTAAACCGTTAAATGCGCATCTTTCGTCGATTCTGGAATGTGAGGGGATAATATAATAATGTGCGAATGAAAAAAAAAATTAATCAAAATAGTAGGATTAATCTTGAAGAGATTGCTAAGCGTCAAATAAACTTTCTTTTACGAGAAAAGCCGTATGTAACAAAACTATTTTCAATAATTATCTACATTGAATTGGTGAAATTTGTTTAAATATTTACAAGAATAATATCTCGGAGACGTATCTATCATTATATATAGATATATATATCGATAGAAATCTTGTTTACATTTACATTTTCTAAAATAAAAGAGAAGCTAAAGTATAAGCAAATATATATATATATATATTCATTTTTTTGAAATTCAAACACCAAATAACATTTATATAGGGTGTCCCAAAACTCATAACCAATCTTTCAAAGACAGATTCCTGGGATCATTTGGAGACGATTTTTCCTCAACGAAAATATCGAGGCACTAATAATTTTCGAATTATAATGATTGGAAATAAGGGTTTTTTCGTAAGCTAAGCTTTGTCGAAATAAAATATTAACAAAACCACATTCTTCAATTAATTTTAAATAGAGTTTACTTTAGTCGAGTTTTAATTTAAGGCTCAATTCAAAGATATATGCAAACATGCAAAAAATGATGGCCTCCATCGACATTTTCGCCGGGGAAAAATCGTCTCCAAATAATCCCAGGAATCTATCCTTGAAAGATTGATTATAAGTTTTGGGACACCCTGTATAATCGTTAGATGTAATTTCCCACTCGACAATAAAACCGTTACATGTATCATCGAGTGGGAAATTACATCTAACAATTATATAAATGTTACTCGGATGTTTGCTGGGAAACATTTAATTACGTGATTGAAGAAAAGAGGAGAAAATGAAGAACACATTTTTTTTTAAATGAAACGTGCAAATTTAAATATACACAAACTAAACGTACGAGAAATTCACTCGAGAGTCAATTTGAAGGAAAGTATAACTCTTGCGTAGAACTGCGGAGAAGCCGGGTTTCAAAGACAGGTTCCTGGGATCATTTGGAGACGATTTTTCCTCAACGAAAATATCGAGGCACTAATAATTTTCGAATTATAATGATTGGAAATAAGGGTTTTTTCGTAAGCTAAGCTTTGTCGAAATAAAATATTAACAAAACCACATTCTTCGATTAATTTTAAATAGAGTTTACTTTAGTCGAGTTTTAATTTAAGGCTTAATTCAAAGATATATGCAAACATGCAAAAAATGATGGCCTCCATCGACATTTTCGCCGGGGAAAAATCGTCTCCAAATAATCCCAGGAATCTGTCCTTGAAAGATTGATTATAAGTTTTGGGACACCCTGTATAATTGTTAGACGTAATTTCCCACTCGACAATATAACCGTTACATGTATCGTCGAGTGGGAAATTACAACTAACAATTATATAAATATTACTTGATGTTTGCTGGGAAATGTTTAATTACACGATTGAAAAAAGGAGGAGAAAATGAAGAACACATTTTTTTTTTTAATAAGACGTGCAAATTTAAATACATAATATACATAACGTATACTAAACGTACGAGAAATTCACTCGAAAGTCAATTTGAAAGAAAGTCTAACTCTTGCGTAGAACTGCGGAGAGGCGGATCATTTCGAACGGTCGTATTTCGCGCGCTCTGGCGGCGGCGCCCGAAGTCGGGGGACGCGTCGCGCGCGGGGCGCACGCGCGCCAGGCGAGTCGCGCATGCGCGCCAGGCGGGTCGCCGTGCGTCGTATCGTGCGCGGTGCGCAGCGCGATGCGATTTCGCCTGCGGAGCGGAGCGGACGCACCGAGATAAATCGAAACCGACGCCGAGAGAGCCGAGATCAGAGAGCAACGATCAGCAGTCACGGTGCGCGGTTCGCTGGACGTGCAAGGGACGCGTCTCGCGTAATTTAGTAATGATCGTGACGGACCGTCGCCGCCGCCGTCGTTGCTCGTGGCAGAATCGCCCAGAGACGAAGCAGCCGTGATCCGTGGTCGTCGTTGGCGTTCCGAGGCCCGTGCCGCGAGGGAGCAGAGAGAGGAGGACCGAGGAACAACCGCGTCGTCGTCGTCGCACGCTGCTGCAACGGTCACGGATGCATATGGAGGTAGGTGGACGAAAAAAAGTATGCGTGCGTTACATAAATAAAGGTCGAGGGTCCGACGCGACTGGGTCGCTCCCTTCTCTCTGTTTACGCCAGTAAAATTCTCTCTCTTCGTCTCTCTCTCTCTCTCTTTCTCTCTCTCTCGCAGTCAGGTGTTTTCGACGAGGCGACGGGATCCGTCGTCCACGCGGAATCGGGGCGAACCCGAGGCGTCGCGCATCTACGTCGTTCGCGATTTAGGCTAATATATCACGCTTGTCGCGCGACCAATTTTTTCCAAGCACGCCGATTGGCCGCGGAATAGAAGATTTTTTTTTCAAGATTCAAAAAATTATTTATCCCGCAACCAATCGATGGGCCTGAAAAATTTCTCGACAAGTGTAATATTAGCCTTAGGATAAATGAGACGCGTTCTCCCGCGAGTCGCGCGAGCCCGTAGTCACGTACTCCATACTTCGCCTCGGCCTCCGAACTACGCATTATTGTTTTCGTAACTTCCGTAACACGCGGGTTCGAGGGGGACCGGGGGGGGGAGCATTATTTTCGTCCTCGCGGCTCCGATAATTTCGGACGCGCTATCGCCCGTCGAACCCGGCGATAGCGGATACGCGGATACGCCGCGTTAAATCGTCGGGTTTGTGTACGTTCTCAGCTGATGGAGCCTGTCAGCTGCCTCGCTCCGCCTCCCCTCGCCCCCCCTCGCCCACCATCCCGCCTCGCCTCCTCGTTTCGATTCGCGAGGCGTTCTCCGTCTCTCTCTCTCTCTCTCTTTCTCTTTCTCTCCCCTCGGTCCTGCCTCTCTCTCTCTCTCTCTCGCCCTCGTCCTTGTCGACGAGCGCAGGTATCGCGTCAGGTTAGCAACCCACGATCCTTTCTTCTCTGCTTCTCTTCCTTCCCCCCTTCTTTCTCTCTCTCTCTCTCTGTCTGTCTTCCTCTCTTCTGTTATCAATGGATTAGGTCGCTTTCGATTGATCTCGGCGACTTTGTTGTTCCTGGAAAAATTGGACCGTTTTTCGAGATAATATTTATTTTGTTAATTTAATTTTGTTATCAGGCAATAATAAAAATTCTAGGGCCAACGATACGAGCTAATTACTAAGGTCTAAATAAAATAAAAGTTATATATTAATAAGTTCATTTAATTGAATAATCGCAAATGACTTTACTCAGTCTTCCTCAGTATGAAAAATAACAAAATCAACATATTAAAATCATCTGTATTCCTTTGACAATATTATTCGTATGTCGCAGAAAAGTAAGTATAAATTTAGTCAAAATTAATTTTTCAACCAGTCTTTCTCTGTGTGTTGATGGAGACGGTTGACATGACAATCTTGACGAAGTGATTTCCTTATTTCTCACGATAGAATAGTTAACTAAATTATTTTCACTCCGAAAAGAACCAAAACCATGGTCGAAACGTCGTGATTCACTTTAATAAAATTTGCCAGTGTGGTCGTTTCTAATTACTTCTTGTATTTTATTTACTGACGACCTTGAAGAGTTTAATGTTACAATTAATTTTGTTATTTTGTTAAATCCTCCCACGCTAGCTTGATTTCTCGATAATTCCCAAGACATTCACCTTGGATTCGATTCCGCCTGTTTTGAAACGAGGAAGAAGAATCGGCTCGTTTGCTTTTCAAATGAAGATTTAAGATGGCGAGGAAGCTAATTACGAGGAGAAGTTCGATGTAATCGCGCTTAATGTTAACTGTACTCGATGCCCGACTGAAAATAACGGAATCCCTTGACCCTTATTCGCGAGCCTCTCCTCGATTCTTTTCTTGCGTCGACGCGTATTATAAATATATGCACGGGGCTATTGTAGATCATGTTTGGACTATGTAGATACATGTGCGATAAGTGGTACACGAATACACAAGTGGTAATGTCGCCAGATAACGCGGCGCATCCACGATGTTTTGTATACATTAACAGCTGATCCAACTGTCGCGTCATAAAAATATCGGGACCATTATCTCATTGTCAGCCAACTACGTTCTTGCTTCGTTCGAATCGCAAGATCTCGCTTTTCAAATTTTTTCAATTATTCCGTCGCTAAATAATCGTTATCTCAGCGAAGGAGTTTTGGAGGGGCTTCGATAAGGATGTCATGAAAAATGCGCTTGAAACATTTTGTTAAACAGATAGCGGGAACTGAATAAACATGATTTCTTTTTTTACCAGATTTTTCCATCTATTATCGAAATAAAGGCGAAGAAAAATATATATCTCATGATTTTTATTCAGTATAAAAAATACTTAAAAATATCATACTTTATTTAGTATTAAAATATAATTAATATAATAATTTTAATATAATTATAATATAATTGTAATATAATATAATAATATAATGGATTTTATATATAGATTTTATATATTTTAATAATATATAGATTTTATTTAATATTAATATAATTAATAAATTAATAAATAAATCAATAAATTAATTAATTATGTCAGAGAAATGTATAATATTTAATATGGAAATATATACGATGTTTTAGAAGAGAAGATTTGTCGAGGAAAATATAAAAAAAAGGCTGTCGAAAAAAAAGAACCAGAATTACGGGCTATAAAAATTCTGCGCGTAATACGATTCGTTTTCGAAAAACAATGCGTTTTTCGCATTCCATGGCCGCGCTGCGAAGAAAATGAATATGTGCAACGACGAACAATGGAGCGCGAATGAATTAAAACCGCACATGCAACTCCCATCCTTCTCCCTCCTTTCTTCCCTCTTTATTTATTTAATAGATGGTATGCATAATTTATTCGATCGATCGTATCGATGCAAAAACGTGTTGCGAAGCGATCTCGTTCGTAACTGCGCGTAAACATGGCTCCTATTTTGGCGCGAAATACGCAGCAGCGCGTGTTAAAACGACACGATCGATTTCCCCGTGATACTCGCGTGTTCCCTCTTCCGGTTCAGTCGCTCCCTCGCCTCGGCTTTCGCCGAGGAACGAACGGGAATCGGCGAATTTCGTGCCCTTGCGAGCCGTCAGGCCTTCGATCGAACGCGACGTCGCGACGCGCCGCGTCGCGTCGCGTCGCGTCGCGCGAACCTGTTGGACAACGGTTTTGTGTACATTTACAGCTGACTGGACTATCAGCTGACTGCGCGACAGAATCGCGCGCGCGCGCGCGCTCCGCTGTTTGCTTCCTCGCCTCCCTGTTGCACGCCTGTTTCTTTCCTGGCGTACTCTCCTTCTCTTCCTCGACTTTTAAAAATATCACATAATTTCTTCTATAATATTCAATCCTTAAACTTTCAGTTTCTTGACGAAGTCTCACACGGACGCATCAGTTTCTCTCAAATTCGAATCTAGTTAAATAATGTTTTTTGTTAATGTGACTTGTGTAGTTTTGCAAGATTATCGTCTATGCCTGTCTCCTGATTATTATTACATCGTATATACTTGATAAGGACCACAACCATATGGTCGAAACGTCGTATTAATAAACAAAATTTCTGGCTAGTTTGGTCGACTACACTTTTTTTCAACGATCCTTAAACTTTCAATTAATATATATATTCCTATTTTTTAATATAGCAAGATTGCCCCCCCCCCCTATCTTTCTTTTTCTTAAAATGATTCAGAGTATTTACATTTATTTTCAATTCTCCTAATTTATTATTTCTAATTATTATATTAATTAATTCTTTCATTTTAATTTATATTTACATTAATATAATAACCTTATTAATATTTTTTTATTCCACAAAATCTAAATTATTCTTTATAATTAATATAATCCCTTTGAAAAACTCTATCTTATCATATTCTTTAGTCTTTTCCTATCTTTAATAATAATTATAATTTAAATAAGATTTTAAGTTTATTTTTCTAAACTTTAAACCTTCAAAGTTTGATATATAAATTTTTCTATATTTATAAATCTTATTTTTTCTTAACCCATTTATTATCCCTTACTATATCCCCTCCCCGTTCCACGGTTCCATTTCGGGAGACGCGGTTCCTTATCCCCCATACTCTCTAAAAGTGAATCAGTAAAAATATCACTAATTTAAACAGTAAAATAAGATTTCATTGAGAATCAGTGAGTATTTTATTGATTTTCAGTGGAAACGCTTATTTTCTTGTTATTTTGTTAAAATAAAATTCACTATAAAACCAGTAAATTTCACTGTAAAACCAGTAATCGCTAGTTTGTTCGTTTACCGCTACCACTGTAAAACCAGTAATCGCTATCTCTCTCGTACTTAGTTTTAATCATAAGCATTATATAAAGTTTGCAAAGAGCGACAGATAAAATTAGAAGTATTATTTCGATTTAATTTCTGATACAATCTCAATAGAGAGGCTTCAGGTGTTAAATCGATCTTATATAAGTCGGACAAATAAATGTCTGACGACTTAATGAAAATGATAAAGAGATGAATTATAGTTTAATATTGCTGACGATAGAAAGAAATATTACTGATTGAAACAGTCAAAATTATTAACTGATTCTTTCAATAAAATATCACTGATTTACAGTGATAGTACACTGATTCACTTTTAGAGAGTACAGAACAGTGCAGCAATATTACAGCAAATTGTAATATTGCTGTGACATTGCAGCAATATTGTAATATTGCTGCAATTTTCTGTGCTGTATGGACCTCTTTGTTGTCTTGGTTTTTTTTTATTTCATTATTTCCTTTCGTCATTTTCCTCGTCGACAATTTATTCCGTCTCGAGAGCCACGGGTCCTTCAGACCTGTTTGTTATCTGTTTACGGAAGCGCGTTGAAAATTAATGAATCATTAGCTCGCTTGAGTTCTTTCGTATTGTTTGGAATATATTTCTCGATCGTGATTTCGAGGTCAGTGATTTGAGCAGGATTTTTCAAGGTTTCTCTCTCTCTCTCTCGGTCTTCGTCGTCTTCCCCCCTGCCTTTTCCCTGCGTCGTAATCAGTGCGTTGCGACAACGTGCGACGAGGGCAATGGCACCCGCCCATTCGATCTTCGTTTGTGTAATGTAGCTAATGCGGGGTGAAGGGTGAACGACTCGCGTAAATTCTCTTGCACACAGAAGGCAGTTTATAAATAACTGGAAGCGAAGCGGGAGGAGAGGGGTCTTTGTCCCCCGCACTTGGGTCCTCGGTCGTCAACCCCTCGATCATTTCTCTCCGAGTTACCCGGGGCGCTCGTACTTTATTAGGTTTCTTTCAAAGTATCATGTGGACTTTGCGCGATATCGCTGAGGTAAAATTACGATCGATGTTTATGACCGATAAGAATATTTCCTAATCAATTATGTCAACTTATGTTTTCCAACTATAATGTTTTCACTAAAATTTATATATTTTCAACAAGACATCATATATGTTTTGACAACAGATTAGTAAAAATATACGCCCATACAGCACAGAATATTGTTGTAATATAACAGCAATATTACAATGTTGCTGTAATGTCACAAACATTGCAGTGATATTATAATTTGCTGCAATATTGTTGTAACATTGTAGCAATATTGCTGCAATATTGCAGTAATATTACAAACATTGCAGCAATATTACAATGTTGCTGCAATTTTGCTGTAATATTAAAAGCATTGCAACAATATTACAATGTTGCTGCAATATTGCTGTAATGTTACAACAATGTTCTGAGCTGTGGGACGAGTAATGCGTTTATAAGGATTTTTTTCATCCTTTAAATTCCATCAAGAATTTTTGAAAAAAAAAATCTTTTTCTTTCATCTTCAAGACATTCGTGTACGAATAGATAATTTTATTTTACTTGCTACGAGAGATATGAATTAGATAAAATTTTCTCAGATGCGCACACAAGTTTCCTCTCTTTAGTCGACCGCTGCAGGAATCTTGGCGAGTTGCTGAGCCAGTCTCTTTCTCTCTCTCCTTCCTCCTTCTCGCATGTGTACTTGCGCGAAGAGAGAAAGAATAAAAAAAGACGCCGGTGCGTCTACAATAAGTAGCAATGACCTTGACTAGTATATTGACTCCAAAGTCCCGGTCTCTTTGTTCTCGGCAATCCGTTAGGAAACTCGTTCCCGTTCTCCTCTTCGCACGAGCCAACAAACGAGACGAGATCCACTTGAATTCATGTATATTCGCGAATAAATTTCAATATACTTACATACTTCGCTAATCGGTCGATGTTAAAAAATTATCGTCTTCCTCAAAGTGTCTTAACGTTGTTACTCAAGTGTACGTATTCAAGTGTACTCGACGTGTTCGACCAGCTCCAGTTGAGTCTCCGCGAGGTCACGGCGAGGGAATCAATTCCGATTAGCGGTGATTTTGCGGAGAAGCGAGTGCGCGATTAGCATTTACAAAGCGTCCGACATCCGTTCCAGGGAGGAATAAGAAGGAGACTCGCGTGTCTCTGTTCGCCTCTCGCGCGCAGAAGAAAAAAGCCTCTATCTTTAACGATTCATAATAACGTCCTTGTCTCTTTGTTTGAACGCGCGCCAGCACGTGTGTAGCACATACGTCGATGCAATTGCCTTTGAAAGCTACGCCTCGCTTCGCTTTCAACGTCATTTCCGCAGCTGTCATTGCGCTCCCCCCACCCAGTCGCCCCGGCGGTGTTTTTTCTTTTTTTTTTTCGTGAAAATAAAAAAAAACAAGATAAGAGCGAAGAGGAAGGAAAGAGCGAAAGAGTGACATTTATTGACGAAATAAAGACTTTCGAAGACGAAGCTATACAAAAGCTATTTACGCATTATTTGTTCTATTTACAACCTTCGTAATGCAGTTTATTGGAGACATTCATCGCGTAATCCACGGATCGATACGTTTCTCGTGAAAATTGCAGAGCTTATAACAGCAGAATTAGTTTCCCAGCAAATATCAGTAAGTAACCCATACAGCACAGAAGCTTGCATCAACATTGCTGCACTGTTACAATATTGCTCACTGCTGTGTAATGTTGCAAAAATAATGCAGAGACATTATTTTGTAATATTTGGCAATGTTGCAGCAACGTTTTAACAGAGCGAAAACGTATAACATGTGTTTCTTTACTTGCTGCTACGCGGCGACACCAAATTTAACTAACTCGGTTTCTAATTCATCTAAAGTGGATATAAGGTCTACAAAGGACTAATTATATTTCTTGTCTTGTGTCAGTTTAATTTCTAATAAACTGACTTGGTTTATTTAATATTCTGAATCCTAATGAGGGATCTAGATTATTAAACAAATAATTTGTTTAATAATCTGGATCTCTCATTGGGTTTCAGAATATTAAACAGATTTTTTTCAATTGAATGGGTAAATAGGAAATAATTCATTTGCGTATTAAAATATTCTGGTGTCGAATGTATGTAAAATAATTTTATATATATATTATTGAGATAAATATTTAAGAAACATCTAATAAAAAACACTAATAGATGTTTTCTTAAAGGCATTTTTTCCGATCTTTCTTAAACGTTTTTTTATGTTTTCAAAGTTTATTTATTAAATTTAAAACGGCGTCTGCAATTGTAGCAAAACGCGTTTTAATATTACAAATACGTTACACAACATTGCTACAGTCTTACATTGTAATATTCCTAAAAGTGGACACTTTAATGTTGCTGCAATCCCACAACAATGGTGCAGCAACATTTTGCAGTGAATTTGCGACGTTGCAATATTGCGGTGAAAGATTGCTGCAATGTTACAATATTGCTCACTGCAGTGTAATGTTGCAAAAATAATACAGAGACATTATTTTACTTAATATTACTTTGGCAATGTTGCAGCAACGTTTTAACAGAGCGAAAACGTATAATGTGTTTCTTTATATGTGTATACAATCTTTGTGTGCTGTATGGGAACATTTACATAACTATTAGTTGTAACTTCCCACTCAGCAATATAACTGTTGCATGTTATGTAACTGTTACATAACAGTCATATTGCTGAGTGGGGAAATTACAACTATGGAAAATTACAACTAACTGTTATGTAACAATTACACAACATGTAACAATTATATTGCTGAGTGGGAAATTACAACTAACAGTTATATAAATGTTACTTGGTGTTTGCTGAATTCTAAACTAATACAACCGTTGCGGTAAAAAATCACTTACTTCGCGATACTCGTATCGCAAAGTGAGCTATCTATTTGCTATACGTGCACGTTTTCAATGCGCGATCGAATCTACGTCAAACTTGTCAATCTTGTTTACACAATTAGCGGTTCGATCAAGTCTGATGTACGCCAAAAAAAAATGATAAAGAACAAGGTGGAAGAAAAAAATGTCGCGAGATTCCGTTGTAGACCGACTTGACGTTAGCGAGAATCGACCCGAAATGAGCATCAACGTTGCGCATTTCTCAGTAAATCTCCCTTGTTATTTATTACAGGTGTCCCCGAACCGGCGCTGTCTGAACCAGCTCAACAGCTGATCGGAGCACGAAGCGGCGGTGAACGGGGCTACTATCGCACCACCACCCCGCGTTTCGGAGAGAAATTCGATTTCGTGTCCGTTGAACGTGAAGAAAAGAAAGGGAAAATAAATAAAACATAAATAGAGAGAAAATAGAGCGCGAATCTCTCCCCTCTCTCTCTCTCCTCCTCTCGCGGAGAGACAGAGACTTGGACATCCTTGCGCTGTGAAAAAAGGCAAGAGGATAGAGGATAGCAGCGAGCAAAGAGCGAAGTGTGTCCCGCTCGCTTGGATACGCCACCATGGTGAAAACTTTTCAAGCGTACCTACCTTCCTGTCACCGCACTTATTCGTGCATTCACTGCCGTGCTCATCTCGCCAATCACGACGAACTCATCTCTAAGGTGAGCTGCACTCACTCGAGCGAGTAACGCGGTCTCTGTTGCAGTTTTTTTCTCTTTCAAAAATATGTCGAGATTTCAAGAGGGATACCAAATCGGATATTGGGACTAGTCTGTTTATAATTATAATTATAATTTTATAAATTTTATTTATTATTATTTTATAAATTTTATAAATTTTATTTGGGACTAGTCTGTTTATAATTATAATTATAATTTTATAAATTTTATAATTTTTAAAATTTATAAAATTTATTAAAATTTATTAAAATAATTAATTAAAATAAAATTATAAAATTTAAATTAATATATTAACTTAATTAATGTAAATTATTACTTAAGCTTGAAAAAAAAACGCGGATTAAAAGTTACTTTTTATCTTCGTATCTTTGTGTCGATGAAAGTTATCGGCATGTTTGATCTATATCGACAAGTATGATTAATGGGATATAAAGAAACTGATTGATCTCGATGTGCATTACAAGAGAGCATTTATTTTTCTTGCTTCTCGCGTCTTAATCTGCAATGAGGGATTAAGGGAGTTGTTATGGAACTGTTTGGGGAAAGATTTTCAATCGAAATTAATCCAATCGAATTCCTTTCCTCGCCGACAGAAACCAATCACGATGCGATTGGGAAAGATTATTATCGTTTGCTTTATCGTATGGCAATAATATGATCTCCCAAAGAGGTCCATAATGGCCTGAAGAAATCACAGTCCGGAAACTCGGTTACCGGAAACTCGGTTACCGGAAACACGCGTTTCCGATCGACATCATAAATAGTTCCATAATAGCTAATAATAGGAGAGTGTCTCTTAACTCGATGTCCCGTTTTTTTATTGTACATTATCAATGAATCTAAGTTTTGTCCGTTTTACATTTCAGTCCTTCCAGGGCAGTCAAGGTCGTGCCTATCTCTTTAATTCCGTGTAAGTATAATTAGTAAGAAGATAGGTAAATCGAATAGAATAATTTTTCATCACATCTTTAACGTTCATTATTTTTATAATGTACACACATGTACAAGATATCTCAAAATTATATCGATAAAGTTGACGCCAATCTTTTCTTATCAACAATTTAATTTAGCAATATTTCTTTTTTTGTCTTTTTTATATTTATTTTTTATATTTTTTATACTTGTTATTTATAGTTTTTTAAAAAATTAAGTCAATGTAGTGGTTACAAGAAAAAAATCTAATAACTGAGTATACAAATTAGGCAGAAAAAAAATTAGAGTTTTTTATATTTATTTCATATATTAATTTCATTAGTTATAAAATTTAAATTAATTAAAAATTAATTAAAATAAATTTAAAATTTATTAAAATAATTTTTAAAATAAAATAATTTTTTATAATTATTATAATTTTATAAATTTTGTAATTATTAAAATTTATTAAAATAATTAATTAAAATAAAACTATAAAATTTAAATTAATATATTAATTTAATTAATGTAAATTTTGTGAAGGAAAATAGAGAAAAAAAGAAATTAAATTGTAAATAAGCAAAAGATAAGATTTTTATTTTCCTCGATTTTTTTCTTAATTGATGGAAATTCTCAAGTCTCTCCAATTATTACTTATGATTAAGAAATAATATCAATAATTTGTAAATCATTAATTGGGAAGAATTAAAATAAATGGTTAAGTTTGATTTTTTTTTTCCTAGTTATATTTAAAACATATACATTTACATAAGCGATGAAGAAATATTTTGCAAAATTATAATTGTATTTACTACGTAGGGTGAACGTAGGTTGCGGACCCGCGGAGGAGCGAGTTCTGTTAACTGGGTTACACGCTGTCGCCGATATCTATTGCGAATGTTGCAAGACCACGTTAGGATGGAAATATGTTAGTGTTATCCAATAAATAAAAATATATTAATTAATCTCGAATATATGGGAGAGTTCAATAAAATTAATAATTCAATATGACATTTTTAGGAGCATGCGTTCGAATCAAGTCAAAAGTATAAGGAAGGAAAGTTTATAATCGAACTTGCCCACATGATCAAGGAGAATGGATGGGAATAAAGAGCGGAGGGGAATAGAGAGAGACAAGTTCTCCGTGCCTCTCGTCAAACTTTTCCTGACAATGCCTACAACATGTTGTTCTAATTGCAATGTGCGGCCCCTCTCTATTCGAACCACCAACGAAAGTCTGTGATTTCATTTGTGATTTATAATCTTAGTAATCTTCGTTTCGGACGATTCAACATCGGTTTGCCCTCTGGTCAAATCGAGCAAGCGAAGAAGGGCGATCGCAGCGATCCGCATTCGCCCATGTGTGGACACATTTCACCAAGTATTGTAAAGAAAAAATTATTTTTCAATGGGAGAAAAGGGTAGAGTAATAAGACGATAATGTCGAGTAATGGTGGAACATGATAACGATGGTGCCATGGTGGAGATGAGGAAGCGAGATCGCTCGGTACGAGCAATGGGGTGCCCCCTTCCTAATTTTGATCCATTATCTTTGTAGACATTGCGTGGCATCGTGTGCATGTCAACACTGAATGTTAAAAAATTAAACGTGCGGGGCACCCCGACAATCAGTTTTCATCTGTTTTCACGCACCGGATCAGCGCAAGTGCCACAGACTTTGCCGGACTGATTGCCTGCCTGCCGCGTCTGTCATTGGAATTTCACTGCCGATATTCCTAATATTAATTAAGGAAGCTACGTTGTATCTAGGGACGGCGTAGTGGTAGTCCTAGAACTTAGCGTACATTATAGAATACTAAAGCCTATATTACATTATTATAGAGGACCTCGTGGATAGAGAAAAATAGGAATAAATAAGAAATAAATGGAGGCGAGAAGAGCGAAGGAAAATGAGAGAAGAGGAAGGAATTTGAGCGAGTGAATGAGAGAGGCAGGAGCCCGAGGACGGGGATGATATAGAAACAAGTGGTCAAGTTTTCTGTCACATGTGTGCATGTTTGGTTTTACGTTCATCATGCCTGCCAAACTGTCCGTTTATCCGTTTGTCTGACAACAGTTGCCACTGTTACTACGGTAGTATCATGTTGTAACGAGTTTATCTTCTTCATTGGCTGAGTAGGGTGTGTGTGTGTGGGTGTCTGATGTGATTCGATTGAATTATTTTCATTGTGAAAATCTTGAAGAACCGCGTATGTACGTGTATGTATGTGGATGTGCGCGTCTTAGGCACGTAATATGATATGTATCTGAAATATAGAGGAAAGGGGAGGGGAGGGGAGGGGGAGGGTGAGGTGAGGGTGATTGTTCGTTTCCTATAAAATATCGATCTCGTTCGTGAATGTTTTATAAGATCCAACTGTGTATTTACGAGATTGCTGGTAATGATGGTCGCAGTAAAAAGGCCTCCCATCGAGGATTAATTCGATATCACCGAAATAAAATAGAGAAACGTCTCTCTCTCTCTTTCTCTCTCTTTCTCTCTCTCTCTCTCTCTCTCCGCGATCGAATATCCATAATCGAGTTGTCGTTTTCTTATATTTACATTTAAATGCATTTCAAATGCAATGTATGGTTCTTGCATAAAAGATTCTCTCCTTCGGAGATTCATCATTACAGGCTGGTTATACTGGGATCTGTCATTTTCTCTATATTCCTTGACGAGTTCTTCCGTTGCTATCTTCTTGTTATGATTATCGAAATGAAACGAGAGTGAAATTTATCGGCAATTATTATATTTAATGGCATTTGCACTTATGCTATTGGGGAAAATCAGATAAGCACAAGTCGCGTTTCTCTTTCCTTCCTCCCTGCCTCTTCCTTTTCCTCTCTCCTTTCTCTCTCTCTCTCTCTCTCTGTGCATGATACTTAACGATTAAACTCGTATATAAATTGTTGTGTTTAATCGATTTTTTGCATAGAAAATTGTTTCTCTTTCACGTGTTATATTATTAACAGGAAGATAGCGTTGTTGCGTTTATCCTATTTTAAGCGATAATCCGTTTATATATATTGTACGAAATGCTTTGTACGATATATCAATGCTGCTCCCATCCCCAGCAAAACACCAAGTAACAATTATACAATTGTTAGTTATAATTTCCCACTCGGCAATATAATTGTTACTTAACACATAACAGTTATATAACATGTGACAGTTATACAGGGTGTATCTTAAAAAGCGCCCACTAAGCAAATAGCGTTATTCCTGATTAAAAACCGAGTCGAAAAGTCCCGAACCATTTTTTTTTCCCAAGATTCATTAAATAATTAAATTAAATTATTAATAATTAAATTAATTTAATTAATCAGATTTAAGTATTAAAAAGATTTCGGAAAAGATGAATTGTTTAAAAATTAACACAAAACAGTTTATTTTTTTGCTTATCCAAATCTTCATACGTTGATAAGGAGGAAGTTTGTCCTTATTGGCGCAACTTTACTCGTTAATTACTGCTTTATTAAGCATTATGGAGAAAAATGGTTCAGGACTTTTCGACTCGGTTTTTAATCAGGAATAACGCTATTTGCTTAGTGACAGCTTTTTAAGATACACCCTGTATAACTCGGTGTTTGCTGGATCGTTTTTTTTTTCCGCACGATTTTTCCACAAGATCACACGTAGGCATACGTACAAAGACATACGTTGATCTTTCAAGTGCATCCATGTGAAAGTGCAGTGTATTCATGCGTATGTAGAAAAATGTCTGCCCGCCTACCTGTTCGACAGATTGACCGAGTGAATGAGCAAACGGTTGAATGAATGTGCCGGCCTAATATTCACGCTGTCACTCAAAGAGTACTTTTTATATTAATGTGCCGATATCTCCTTATCCGCACTCACCTCTTTTCAGAACCTTGTTAAAATGTACCTATCGATACACTAATTCCGTAGTCTTCTCAGCCTCCACAACTTCCACCATCACAGGATTTTGCTTTGTAAAACGTGTTCTTAATAAAATAAAAAAAAACAATCCACAAAGTATCGAGGATAATTTTAGACACATTTTTAATATAAGATATATCGGTATTTTTTCTACTCTTGTTTTTGATTTTTCGAAAACGGATATGAGGGCGTAGAGCGTTTTACGTGATAAAGGTCTCAAGAAAAATTGAGGGTAAGTATACACGTCACTTTGGATTATTTTTAGAACTTAAATTGAATATTTAATAATTAGAGACTTGGCTCAAAATATCAAAATGAAAATGGCATAGTTGGCATTAGTTGGAGCGCAGAGAACCAACAACACTTTTTTTTTCAATATTAGTTTGTTAAAAACTTAATAACAAAAACCGATTAAATTGAACATGTACGAGGGTAGTTCGAAAAGTTCTCGGCCTGGCAAAGAAAACACATGATTTCCAGCAAAAATCTTTTTTATTTTTCAACATAGTCCCCTTTCAACTCAATACATTTAGACCAACGATGTTCTAATTTTTTTATACCCTCAGTATAATACGATTTGCTTAAGCCTCCAAAATAAGCATCCGTCTCAGCGATGACCTCCGCATTTGACGTGAATTTTTTTCCAGCAAGCCATTTTTTCATATTCGGAAACAAAAAGAAGTCACTGGGAGCTAAATCTGGCGAGTACGGTGCGTGTGGTAACAATTCGAAACGCAATTCATGGAGCTTTGCAACTGCAATTGAAGACGTGTGAGCGGGTGCATTGTCGTGATGGAAAAGCACTTTTTTCTTTGCCAAATGAGGACGTTTGGTTTTAATAGCATCGTTCAATTGCTCCAGCAATGCTGCATAATATTCCCCATTGATGGTTTTGCCTTTTTCTAGATAATCTATGAACACCACACCTTGCGAATCCCAAAAAACAGTCGCCATGACTTTTCCGGCTGATGGAACTGTTTTTGCCTTCTTTGGAGCATCCGCTTCCACCCATTGTTTTGATTGTTGTTTCGTCTCTGGCGTGTAATGGTGAATCCATGTTTCATCGACAGTGATAAATCGTCGCAGAAATTCGGTTGAATTGCGTTTAAACAAGTCCAAGCACTCTTGAGAAATGTTCGTTCGAATGCGTTTCTGATCGACCGTTAACAAACGCGGCACCCATCGCGCTGAGAGCTTTCTCATATGCAAATGTTCATGTAAGATATTGTGAACACGCTCTATTGAGATGTTTGCAATGTTAGAAAGCTCACGCACTTTTACTCGTCGATCATTTAACACGCTATCGTGGATTTTTTGAATGATTTCCTCATTCGTGGCGGTTTTCGGGCGACCCGAACGTTCATCGTCAAAGATGGATGAACGGCCACGTTTAAATTCAGCAGCCCATTTCTTCACTGTTGAAAATGATGGAGAAGAGTCTCCCAAAGTGGAATCCAGCTCGTTTTTTATTTCTGTTGCCGTTAATCCTTTTAAAACGAAATATTTTATGACTGCGCGATATTCAATTTTATCCATTTTTGGAGAAGTATCAAATCTTGTCTGTTTTACTCGAGCACAGTAAACAAACTAGCGAACGAATCTGTCTGAAACTGTGCGGTACGCCCTCTGAGGGATTAAACTTGAGAAAAATCATAGCCATTTGATATTCTTAGCGACATTTCTATATTAGGCCGAGAACTTTTTGAACTACCCTCGTACCTATCGATACATTAATTCCGTAGTCTTGTCAGCCTCCACTCTGTGGCCTCCACAACTTCCACCATCACAGGATTTTGCTTTGTAAAACGTGTTCTTAATAAAATAAAAAAAAACAATCCACAAAGTATCGAGGATAATTTTAGACACATTTTTAATATAAAATATATCGGTATTTTTTCTACTTGTTTTTGATTTTTCGAAAACAGATATGAGGTCGTAAACCGTTTTACGCGATAAAGGTCTCAAGAAAAATTGAGGGTAAGTATACACGTCACTTTGGATTATTTTTAGAACTTAAATTGAACATTTAATAATTAGAGACTTGGCTCAAATAATCAAGAAATCAAAAAGAAAATGGCATAAAAGCCAACGCGCGATAGTTGGAACGCAGAGAAGCAACAACACTTCTTTCTTTTTTCAATATTATAAATATAAAATAAAAAATAAATATAAATATAAAATATAAATATAAAATATAAAATAAATTAATTATAAATATAAAAATAAATTATAAATATAAAATAAATTATAAAATAATTATAATAATATAATTTTATTAAAAACATATAATAAACAAAAAGCGATTAAATTAAACATTTTTATTTTTGCCCGATTTCAAATAATGGCGCTTCATTTTCACGCATGTGCACTACTCGTCTCGGGCTTTATCAAACGTGCCGACAGGGGGAACGACGTGCCATCATATTGCACAGATAACAATGGATTCCATCGTAGAAACTTGATTTTTTTCTTGTTAGCATTTCTTATAATTAATGTTTTTTTTTTTGTTCATTTTTAGTGTATAAACGTGGGCGAATTTTTATTTATCGTTATTACACATATATCTGTTGAACGCTGTTTATTACTTTAAGATTAATGATGAGGAACGCAAAAGTTAAGAATTCAAGGTAATTAAAATCATCAAATCTCTCTAAAGAAAGATTAAAAAAATACGCCAAGTACATAAAAAATATTCTACCTTGTATGCAAGAAAATGTTTAATGAAAAAATCTTTAAAACTAATTTACAATAATTTTCCCTCCGCAAAATTGTTTTTCTAAAAAACAAACCTCAACAAATAATTTTCATAAAAAAATATAAAATATAAAAATATAAAAAAAATATAAAAATATAAAATATCGAAACTATCAAATGACAGCTATGTGATTATTATATATAATTCCTGTCACTTGCTCTGATTATGAGAGAAAGACAAAGAGAGATCCTTGTTCTTACATAAATAAAATCATCTTATATAAATAAAATATTGCCATTTACAATTTATATTATTTATAGAAAATTATAACTCAGTTCAATGATTGCGTTTGACCTGTAATACAAATTTTTACAGAACGGGAAGTTTGGAAAGTTTTAGCGATGGAGGAGGATTATTTGATGTTGTTGTACGGCCAATGTTGCAGAAAGGCCACGAGGGAGAATTGTGCAGTTGGTTAAAAGAAATGAGTCTAATCCCTACAGTTTCCAACTGTCCCAATTTGGAATGTGATGGACGTAGTTTAGTGTGGAATCCCGCGAGAATCATAGACAAGTACATTTGGTCTTGCCCTGGCTGTTTGAGGAAGCTGTCGATAAGGGAAAAATCCTTCTTTTTTGGAATAAAATGTGACCTGAAAATGTGCCTTCAATTGATATTAGGATGGTGTCAAGATATTCCCTGCGAAATTATTGCTTCATGCTTAGGTTCTTATTTACAAATTATATCACAAATATTTTAGGTGATACATTAAAAAATATTATTTACAGTCAAATGCATATATTTGTATTATTGCAGATATCAAGAAATATGTAGTTAAAAAAATATATGATCGATGTGACGAACTTTCCGCAATCTACATGAAGAAACATCCAGAGGATTGGTTATTAGGCGGTGAAGGTGCAATATTAATAGTGGATGAATTTCCTGGTGGTTGTATGATGGAGCATCAACCGGATCTAAACTCTGCCAAAAAACGCAATAATAATTCACATACAATAATATGCATTGCAGAAGCGAATGCTATACCTCCTCGCATATGGTTGCATATGATTGAAGCTGTACCAGAGGTAATGAAATGTGTAATTAATAATTGCTATTATTTTATTTACCATATGATAAATAACATCATGTAAATATTAATCGCTGTGTAAATTGTCTTAATTTTGTGCTATTTACAGCCACAAAAGATTGACAAATTACAACAGGGGGTCAACAAGTGTAACATGGTAAAAGAAGCTTTAAAGGAAATTGCGAAGCACACAGTACCAGGAAGTTATATAGTAGCAAATGATCGTGCTTCCTGCTGTAGTTACGAATCTTTACAGAGTTTAAGGCAATATAAGATTATCAGTATTGAACAATTACAAAAATTTGATCCACCTGGTAAAAGTAAACTTCTTGATAATCTTGGTAACTATTTTTCTTTATACAATAATGTTGCAATTACACAAATGTTTTTGTATATATTTTTCTATCTGCCTAAACAATTTTCGCGTAAATTATCCATTCTCATTCATTTTTAAGAAACAATTTGGCAAAACGCCATTGAAATCTGTGAGGAAGTTCAAGAAGCTACGCACACTGTAGGCCAACATATCATTGCTAGACACTTGTGGAGACAGAAATTTGGAACATCAATCTCCACGGCTTTTCAAGATATGATGAATCATATTGCAGAACATTATCGATTTTCTTAAGATTAGGCATAAATATTGAAATCTCCTCTGGGTCGCAGCAGTATAACATCTCTCATACATGACAAAATGCTCCTGCAAATAACACTCGATTTTTTAATGAGCGTACAAGATGGATATTGATTGAGAAATTAGATCTTATATATATATATATAATTTTCACACAAATTGCCTTATATATAAAGCAACGAATATATATATATATATATATATATATATATATATATATATATATTATAAAATTTATTTTTTATATACACATAACAAAGTAAAATTTATAAATGACTATATTGTTAAGTCTTCCAAGTACTCTTAAGATATTACTCTTTATATAAAATTATATATATATTGACAATAATTGTTGAGAATTATAGTGAAAAGATGAATGAACTTTAAGAGAGAAAAAGTGAAGCGACAAGATTGATAAAAAGCTATATATAATGTCTTCATATTTGTGCTAATACTAAAAGCTATTGCATTGAAAGACTGAGAGTGATGCTATCAATAGAATATAATTTTAAAGTAATTTCAAATTCAATAATATAGCAATATTAGGATAAATAGTAATAGCAGATATTATTCACTTTCAATTTGTTTTTTTAATTGAAGAGATATTAAGTACTATAATTTTGGTACTAAACTTTTCTTGTATTTTTTTTCTAATATTCTCTTTCAAATGTTTAAGTACGCACAAAATTAAATTTATAGTATAACTTTATATTTTATTACATTGTTTTTTCATATATATGTTTTGTTGAATATAATTTTACATTTATAAAAGAGGAGGAAGAGCAATTAGTGAATCAGTTGATTTATTATGGGATCAACTCCGTAATTTTTTATCACTTTATCGATTATCTATAACTTCTCGTTATAACATTATAAATAAATTAAAAATAAAATATAAAAAAGTTCTTTTATTAATAAATATTTTTTCAAATATTTTCTCTAAAGGAGGATATTAAGATAGACACATGATCATTAAGAAAAATTAAACATTTGCTACAAATACTATTAATATGATTTTGTACTAAATTTTTGATTAAATTGATAATAAAATGTAAAAATTAAACGAGATTTGTTTATTGTTCCTGTTTTTTATATAAGAGAAGTAATAATAATATTATCGAATTTGGAATTTTGTATACACGTATACATATGATATATATTTAAAAAAATAAGTAATTACAAAATAATGTTTTGATTAAATATTTTTAAGAAAAATATACACTATGACGAAAAAAAATAGCTCGCGAGGGGGCACCCGGGTTTGAACCGGGGACCTCTCGATCTGCAGTCGAATGCTCTACCACTGAGCTATACCCCCAGTTATTAGTTGCTGTCAAATATATGGTTTTCTATCATGGAAAATACAATTTATCTCATTTGTCAAGTATAATCATACAACAATGCCTTGTGCAATTCTGAAATAATTTTGATTAATCGAAATATAATCGTCGTTTGCTCTAATACACTTTTCATTTCCTTGGAAAAAAATGGTTTTTTACTTTTTCAATAAATATAATTTCCATCTTTTGATTTTTTATTAAAACAAAATTTTTTTAGTTTAACAAAGAATAGTTTTTATCAATTTTTATTACTTTTAATGGCTTTAGTAGATTTTTCTTACTTTGAAAAATTTTTTTAAATTCTATTTTAAAGAATTCTGAGCTTTTCTTTTTCTATCTTTAATAAGAAAACACAAGGTCTGACATTAATCTCTTTTCGAACTCGATAATATCCGGGTCTGTTTTTATCGGTACGTTACTGAGACGCGGTGGTAGCTAAGCAACCCTTACATTAACTTACTCGTGCTAATGCAGAGCGTTCGTTCAGTGCGCTCTCCACTCTCCAAAGGTGCGTTTCACTGTTGTCATAATGAGTCGACCTCGTGGCCGGAGCAACATTTGACGTTTGACCGAGCTTTGACTTTTTGAAATCTCGCGCCATTCGTAATGATAAGCAAACAAAAGCTTTAATTCCGTAATTCGAGAAGGTAAGAACACTAATTAAATATGCACATTGAATATCATAACTAGAACGAGAATCGATTAAATTCTTGTATATTTGTTAGATTGTTAGATGTCATAAAAAGGTTACACATTTCTCTATATAATTATATCATTAATATAATTTCTGTTTTATCATAAAAGAATTATCTTGCTTCTGTTGTATCATAAAAGAATTATCTTGCTTGTAATTTTCCTATTTTTATATGTGCAAATAATTTTCTGCAAAAGATGAAAAGTAAAACAATTAATTAACACATTATTGTATTTATGTTAAAGTTATATTACTCTATTTTCTATTTGAAATATAATATCCTGAATTTGATGCCTTTTTCATTAATTGCATTAATTTATATTTTATATTTTATTATTTTTAATTTTTAATTAATTTTTCGATTATTAATTTACAAAGGTTTTTATTATTTTTAAAAATTATTTTAATTTATTATTATTTTTATAATTTTTATAATTTATTATTATTTTAAATTATTTTTAAAATTATTTTAAAATGATTTTTCAATTATTTTAATGTCGAAAGTTTCTGAAGAAATTGTTGTGGAAACAAAAAATACAGAAATATAGTTTCCATATTTTCCTATGACTTCTATTATATATCAATAGATTTTATCCGCTGATTTGTGTACATCATTTATTGCGCGAAGCAAAGAAATATGTTTCGTGGAACAAGAATGAGAGAGAATAGCTGTTTTATTTTTCCAACTTGTGTCGGCAAACGTGCACATGATTTATGCACCGTATTTCGATCGGTTGCCAATTCGGATCTCGCAAACAATAAGCACACGTGATATTTGAGGCGTATGAGAGGTGCACGTAACGCGGAGAGATGTTACTGTTAAATATTAATGACGCAACATCACGAAGTACGAAGGTCTCGGCGAATTATTAACGGAGCAATAACGATCGATGTGCGGCATGGTGAATCAACGAAATAACGATTTCCAGTCATCGCCGCATCGCACGGTGTGAGTTCGTTGCACGTTACGTATCGCAAGATATAAAACTGCGCGAGAAATCTCTTGTTCGACCGATCTGGGGTCGATTCCCTCAATACAAATATGAGACATAGCTTTCATGTTATTCTAATAATTAATGATTAAAAACTGAGAGAATGGATGACGAAATTACGTTCTTTAATTAATTTTGACAAGTGGATTTCAATAAAATTTTAATTTCAAGGTTTATCAGGTAGACATTTGTTCTTAAAATTTAAGTTTTTTTAGAAGCTACTTGTTTGCAATTTGAGTTTGTGAAAATTCAATAAATCTTCCCAGCAATCGCCAAATAACATTTATAACTGTTAGTTATAATTTCCTACTCAACAATATATAACTGTTATATAACTGTTATGTGTTAAATAACAATTTTATTGTTGAGTGGGAAATTATAAGTAACAATTATATAACTATTACTTGGGGTTTGCTGGAATATATACAACATAGAATTTATCTCACACTAAGAAAAGTAATCTAATTGATTCATTTCAAACAATTATATCTCTTTGTAACAAACGCTATTATTGACACATATAAATAATAGAATATATTGTATTTTATCGTAAATAAATGAATAAAGTATTGTTTCGTGAGATTACTATACTATTTACAATATCGAATTCATGAGCGGATATTTCTATGCAAATTCTCACGAGAATAGCCCAACACTAATTACTTTTCTAATAATTGATTAAACGAGACATTATTTTTAATTAAAAATATATAAATATATAAGATGCTGCCTCTTATTATATTGTATATAAGAAACAATAATATCATGAAAAAATAGTTTCAATAAACCATTTTTTGGGGTAGACACGAACATAATTATAATCCGCAAATTTTTTAAAATAAAGTTTAGATCTTCTGAATTTATATTATTTATACAGAAAATGTTACACAATTAACTTTGAAAAATTGCAATATCTACTTTATAAAATTTTAAGTTTATCCCCAGCAAACACCAAATAACAGTTATATAACAGTTATATAACTGTTACATGTTATGTAACTGTTGCATAACATGTTAACAGTTATATTGTCGAGTGGGAAATTACAACTAACAATTATATAAATGTTATTTGGTGTTTGCTGGGATCATACTCTTTCTATATAACATGAGTTTAAAAATATTTGCAGGTTATTAAATTTCAATGAAAAATTATTTTGATTTGATAGGAAGAAACATTTTTGATTTTAATAATTTAACATATCTGTGATCAAATAGGAGCAAGTCATTCAAGGCAAGTTAAATGAATCGGATTTCAGAAAAAAAAAATAATGAAACTTTTGCTCCCTTTACGTCGAGTCTATAAGATCCACGCTATGCATACCGAGGTTAAACAGTCTGTTATTTTAAGTAATCAGTTTCTTGACAGCTCGCGGGACGATCCACGCCAGGTGAAGATTAGAATTCGACACGTGGCGACCTTGCCGTCGTATCAGCCATTATATGGTTCTTTATAGGTAGCCGCGTGTTGTGACCATCGGTTTCTATGGTAGCGAGTGACCTGGTCAGTCCACCACGTGGTCAGCTTTGATTTAGGATCGAAAATTTGGGTCGTACTTTAATGGGGCTACACACTTCAGGATAAGAATCTAGCTATTTTACGGCGACGTGTCTTCAGCGCAGACATCTGAGTCGATATTTTTAATTTTACTAGCTTCATTTATCATTGTGCATCGTGTTGCAAAATAATCTCGGATAATCTCGAAATATTAATCATTTTAATCATCTATTAACTTGATTATTTAATATTAATTTGATTACTATTAAATTCAAATATATATATTCGTCTATTAGCAGCTATAGTAGTCAAACCTAATTTCGAGTATCATCCAGTTTGCAATAAACTTGCTTCACAGCAAGCTTATATAATTGTTACAATTTCCCATTCAATAATATAATTGTTATTTAACATATAACAGTTATATAACATGTAACAGTTACATTGTTGAATTATAACTAACAGTTATATAATTGTTGCTTGGTGTTTGCTGGGTTACAATTGCAATCTTCTTCAAGCTACTATTTTACTCGGGTAGAAGGATCGAGCGTCCTTTTCGACGCGATGAGCTCAATCCGTCGAGAGGTCCGAGGATGTCCTGGCGCGACCGGTCGACGTAGTCGGGGGTAGGTGCCAGAGACGGGCATGGACACTAAGACACCGCCGATCCCGTTGAAGCCGCAGGAGAAGCCTCAGCCTCAGAAGAGAACGGAACGTGTGGTCGACGTGTCCTTGCCCCCGCTGACACCGTATCCGAATCATCGTACACATCAGGATCATCGCAAGAAGAGGCCTTACAGGTAATAGAGATGCTGGCCAAGTTATTCCATATTGATTCCCAACCGCTTAAATTTTGAATCTCTCTAGTTTCATTTGCAAGAATCAATCTACTTGAGGATTCGAAATTTAAACGATTGCTATGATAATATTGAGTAATCAGTGAGTTGTCAGTTTAGACAATCACCTATACAGTACAGAATATTGTTATAACATTACAGCAATATTGTAATATTACTGCAATATTGTTGTAACATTGCAACAATATTACAATGTTGCTGCAATATTTCTGTAATGTTACAACAATAACGTAGCAATATTACAATGCTGCTGCAATATTGTTGTAACATAGTAGCAATATTAAAATGTTGTTGCAATATTGCTGTAATGTCATAAACATTGCAGCGATATTATAATGTTGCTACAATATTGTTGTAACATTGTAGCAATATTACAATGTTGCTGCAATATTGCTACAATATTGCTGTAATATTAAAAACATTGCAGGAATATTACAATATTGTTGTAATATTGTAGCAATATTAAAATGTTGCTGCAATATTGCTGTAATGTCACAAACATTGCAGCGATATTATAATGTTGCTACAATATTGTTGTAACATTGTAGCAATATTACAATGTTGCTGCAATATTGCTGTAATGTCACAAACATTGCAACGATATTATAATATTGCTACAATATTGTAACATTGTAGCAATATTACAATGTTGCTGTAATATTAAAAATATTGCAGCAATATTACAACGTTACTGCAATATTGCTGCAATGTTCTATGCTGTATGGGCAGGGTTCATTCTCTAGAAGCTCTCTCTGTTCCAGAGTGCTACACATAGGCGCTACACCCTTGATGCACGCCTGTCAACAGGGCGACAGAACGAGGGTGTTGAGATTGCTGAAGGAACAGGGGGAAACGGTCGCTTACAGAGATCGCACGTTAAGAAACGCTCTCCATTATTGCATGGACGCGGGAACTGGAGGTGCGGTTGCCGCGGCGGCACCGGAATTGGTGAACGCTCCGGACGCTGAGGGTCACACGCCACTTCACCTGGCGGTCATCGCCGGCGACACCCAGCTGGTCGCGGTCCTCTTAGCGAACGGTGCCGATGTCAACGCCAAGGACCTCGAGGGACACAGTGTTCTTCATTGGGCCACAGGTATATGTCTTACTTATACCTGATATATCTGAGGTAGAAAAATATTTCTCACAAACACGAGAGTTCGCAGACTGCATCAGATCGATAGATTAGTTTGATACTTTACTTTATTGTAGTGAATATATATTCTTCAAGATAGCAGATAGACTATACTCGTATACTGTTGTGAGAATTTGTAACGGAATTTTATCTTGTTATATTAAATTTCGATCCGCTGAGGCTGAAAATAAATTAATCCTTTTCGATTTTTAATCATCACAATTATAGAGATCTGCTATTTTAGATCAAGTTTTTGAATGAAGGAACATTTTTACATGTATTTGTAACTTTTACACAAATAACTTGAGGACATAACTATGATCAACTCGCTCAAGTGATCGCGATAATACGTGTCCTCGCGTGATCGTTAGCAGACCGAAATGACGTCATGCAGGACGACCTACTGACCTTACTTGACCACTACACGCCATCATCTCCCCGAAGATTGGAGGGAACGATACGCGCTCTGCATTTTACCTGTCATCCAGCTCTTAAGAGAGTTTAATGTACGACCGCGGACAATTTGACCTTCCAAAAGGGGAACACTGTGTTCTATCCAAGATATTTGCATCGTGTCTGCATGAGAACATAAGTTTGAAACAATTCTTGAACAATTAATATCAAGATTGCGTACTTTAAAGAAAGCTTAAAGAAAGTATCCTTCAAGGATACTTTGTATATTCTCTCTTCTTTCCCAAAGTCCTTGAAATATTAAAGAAAAAAAAAGAATTGAAGTTGTAAAAATAATTTTCAGTTTGCGGAGAAGCGGAATGCGTTCGATTAGTTTTGGCAGCTGGCGCCCGACCTTCCACTCCCGATTTGCGTGGTGGTTCCCCGCTTCATTATGCCGCCCAATGTTGCGGTGCGGCCGCCACAGCCGAGCTCGCGGTTCCCAAGAAGATCGGTCTGAAGGTTCTGCAAACGCTCCTGGAATTCGGCGCGGATGTAAACGCGAAGGACGAAGATGGACGACAGCCAATCTTGTGGGCGGCGAGCGCGGGTAGCGTGGAGGCCGTATTGGCTTTGGCAAGGTAGATGATTGGTCGTCACAATTGTCTTAGTTAGTTTTTCACCAAATGTCGGTCTATCTCGATTTTGATGAAAGTTGTAAAAAGATTCGAAATTAATCCTTCTCGTGAAATTATTCCACTTTGGATCCTGAGTGACAATGTAAGGGAAATGTATTTATGAACCTCCTATGAATGATTCAGAGCTGGAGGATCGGCGGCCGCGGGTACTTCGGACAAAGATGGATTGACAGCGCTTCATTGCGCGGCTTCCCGGGGCCACGCAAGGTGCGTGGAAGCGTTGATCAACTTGTGTGGATCTCATCCCGACCACGTGGACGATAACGGTTGCTCCGCTTTACACTACGCTGCCACTTTGGGTCACGCTGATGCCACCGCGCTTATCCTTAAACTCGGCGCGGATCCCAATCGTCAGGATCGAAAGGGTAGAACGTAAGATTACGAAAAGCTACTAGTCTTCCTAGAGAGACATATCTTCTTCTAAATATTCTAAAAATTCTAAAAAATATATATATAAGATTTTATAACCCAGCAAACATCAAATAACAGTTATATAACTGTTAGTTATAATTTCCCACTCAACAATATAACTGTTATATGTTATGTAACAGTTACATAACATGTAACGGTTTTATTATTAAGTGAGAAATTGCAGCTAACACTTATATAAATGTTACTTGGTGTTTGCTGGGAAAATAACATTACACTATTGTAGTCTATATATCTAGTTTGATCGGTTATATATTTTGATTCTAATCAAAAGTACCAATTTCCAAGAGACTGTCACGCTTGTCTTCAGACCGGCGCTTTGCGCCGCGGCCAAGGGACAGTTGGAGACCTTGAAGATTCTAAGCCAACACGGTGGTTCGCTTCACGCCAGAACCGTACGAGGTACGGGGATTGGACACGAGGCTGTAGCATCCGGTAGAATCGAGCTGATAAAGTGGCTGGCGAAGAGGAGACCGAGCACATTGGACGTCGCTACCCACGATGGCAAGACGCCTCTTCACGTCGCGGCCTTGCACGGTTACTTGGACGCGTGCAAGGTCCTTCTGGATCACGGCGCGAGAATTAACGCTGTTCTCAGGACTAGCAAGGGCAACTCGATGACCCCGTTGGACGCGGCCCTTTACAGAGGGCACCGAGATTGCGCAAAACTGATCCAGATGCACGGTGGTTGTACGGCTCAGCAGTTGAGGACTCACAAAACCGCACCAAACAAAGGTCAGATTAGGTATAATCTATAGACATTTGATGAATCTGGTTGGGAAGCAATTTAAAATGATAATAAATTGTGTTTGTGTTGCAAAATTTATTTGTATTATATATTTTTAACGAGACATGACTTTATTAACGTAAACGTTAAAATTTCATCATTTAAAAATTGATATTTTCTCTATGCGTTTATAAAAAATTTATGTGATAGTGATATATTATTGAGTAACTAGGTAAGTCACTGAAACGATTTTAGTCTTCACAGCAAAGTTTCGAGTGAAACATAACGAGAGTAGCTCTCCGAGCGATAGTAGTCCTTGCAGAAAAGGTCACAGAAGGCACAGACATCCTGAGCTTTACTACGAGGAGCGATGGATAGAGAGGAGAACGCGGCGGAAGAGTAATTCAAAGAAGCTAGCGCGTCGGGATAGTCGAAGTTTCAGCGAAGAGGAAGTGCGACTATCGAAGATGTCCACGAAAAAAGATGAAAGAAGAGCTCGAAGCGAATCCGCGCGGTAAAATAATGCAAATAACGTTTTATCAATGCGACGTAAAATAATACGAGGAGTGTTCATAAAGAACCCTTTTTTACAAGTTATTATATGGAAACTTTCAATATTCTCAATTTGTGAAATTAGCACTTTTTAGAATATCAATCGGTAAAAATTAATTTTCTAAAAAATTCTGACGATTAAATATAACAAGATAAGTAGAAAAAGAAAGGGAAAGATAAAGTTACTTTTTAAATCTTCTTGTATTAATTAAAATCGCATTGCATTATTATATTAGGTGTACAACTTTGCTTCCGCCGTTTTTTTTTCCGAAATTCGAGGCTTTATTGTAAAAAACTAGTTATACATTTATGATTCAAAGTATTGTCCATCGCTGGCCACTACTTTCTCCCATCTTTCGGGCAGCATATGAATCCCGCGTCGAAAAAACTGATCATATTTTGAGGCGATCCACGAATCGATCCAATTTTTTACTTCTTCATAAGACTGGAAGTGCTGGTCAGCCAGGCCGTGTGCCATTGATCGAAACAAGTGATAATCAGAGGGAGCAACGTCTGGACAATACAGCGGGTGGGGTAGGACTTCCCATTTCAACGTTTCCAAGTATGTCTTGACCACTTTCACAACATGAGGTCGAGCATTGTCATGCTGCAAAATCACTTTATCGTGTCTCTCGTTGTATTGCGGCCCGTTTGTCTTTCAATGCTCGGTTCAAACGCATCAATTGCGTTCGATACCGATCGCCTATGATTGTTTCAGTCGGTTTTAATACAATCTTCTTTCTTCCACCGCTATGCCGGTCTTCGACGTCAAAATCACTATTCTTGAAGTGTTGAAACCACTCACGACACGTTCTTTCACTAATAGCGACCTCACCATAAGTATCTGAGAGCATTCGATGAGCCTCAGCCGCAGATTTCTCCATATTGAAGCAGAAAATTAAAACCTCCCGCAAATGACGAGAATTTGGCTCGTAAACTGACATTTTCAATTGAGAATAACTTTATGATGGTGTCACAAATCGACTAATGTTTCTATGGGGTTATGTTGACAGATGCCCAAGTATATTGTATGACATCTATGATCTATTTATTTCGACCACCACCTACCGCTAAAGCCATCTACAGAAAAACGGCGGAAGCAAAGTTGTACACCTAATATAAAGTACCAAATTTACTTAAATTGTCATTAAAAATTGATAGATATGATAATAATGGCGAGTGCAATCTGCGAAGAAAACGAAGCAGAAGAGTATCTATGAGTCATAAGCATGAATATTCAGATTCGTCGACCGAATCTGACAGCTGTGACTATTCTCACGACGAAAATGAGGCAACTGTCCAACGGCAACGCGCAAAATTGCAGCAGGAAGCAAGAAAGGACAAGAGTAAGAGCTCCAACGAAACGGCAGCCAAAGATAGCTCGAAGAAAGAGGACGATGACAACGATCAAAGCGTAAGTGACGATAGTTTGGAGGTGATCGTAGTGAAGAAATCGTTGGAAAAAAAATGTGAAAAGGTGGTATCCGGAAGAAGATCGAAGACTCCTAGAGAACGCACAAAGGAGACGAAACTGACTAAAATGCATAAACGTAGCTCTAGGAAGATGTCCAGATCCGGTAAATCAAAGATATCCGATGAAAGTACAGTGGATCGAGACGATTCGCCCCATAAGAAAGGCAGAAGCGCAGTGGCAAAAGAGCCAGTGCATACCTCGGGAGCACCATTCGAGAGGAATGAAGTTGACGAGAGGATAATAGAATCTCGATATCGCAGAGACGCGACCGATAGCACCAGTCAGGAAACTGTGGAGCAAGTGATTGTCACGGCGATGGTTCACAAGGACCAAATGCCTGACACTCCGAAAGCAACGTTGGAGACAGCGAAAGAGGTCAGCTATGAAGACATTTTGAAAAAGAAAGCAATAGAGACAGAGGAAACGAAGGAAATTTCTAAAGATATGACTACTTCCGATAAAAATGAGATGATATTGCCGCACAAAATGGATAAGCAAGACTCTGGAGAGGGAGTGCAAGAAACGGTGCAAGAAAATTCTCTTCTCAGTGTTACTGAAGAGATCCAAGATGAGAACGAGAAAGTCAAGGAAACGAGTGATAAGACGCAAGGTAAGTTCCATTAGATAAAGATCAGATATTGCAAGGAGGATACAGAATTTGTGAAATACATTAGTATAAATCTATGTTTGCCTGACACTGGCTATAGTAATCTTTCAGATAGGTTAGATACATCCGAGGACGATACACACGAAAGGCAAAAAGTGGACGAGGATAAAATATTTGACGAATCATCCCATTTAAGTATGGAACCTGGTGCTACTGAAGATTTCATCAGCGAGAAGAGAGACAGTTCTAAAGACGAAGAGAAAGCTGATCAGCAATCTGTTTCTGATCAAAAGGACGTTTCTCAACATTCTGTTACCGTAGACGAAGAGGACGGAAAATCCATTTCCGAAGATTCGAAGAGAGAGGAAACCCTAAAAACTGCCATGAAAAAGACTTTATCGGAAGAATCGAAAACACTGTCTTCGAGACAATCAGAAGAAGGTGCAACTGCGAGTAGTTCAAAGGATAAAATCGCAGATCTAACAGGTGAAGAAAAAGGGGAAACTTTGACGAAACAGGTATCTGTGAAAACAGCATCCACCAAAGAGAGCTTTGAATCAACCGAAGATGCTGAATCGAAAGAGGATGAAGAATTGAACAAGCACGATGAAACATCTACGGGCATATTATCAACGGAATCGATGTTGACTGTAGAAAAGACTCTTTCTCCAGGAAGAGCGTCTCCTGACGAAAAATCGGGAAGTGCTAAGGAATCGGATAGTAAAGAACGATCAGAAATCGAGACAAGTAAGTCAAAAAAATATTATGTACTTTAAAATATGAAAAATATGAAATATTGAATGTTCTTCGAATACGAAAAGTCTTTAAATAGATATTGTCTGATTAAATTAAAATATTTATCATAAATATAATTTTGTTTTCGAGTTATAAATTACTTGTCGTCTAACGGACCAAGATTTTAGGGGGCAAAGATTCTCGATACATCGACGATAGTTCCTCGAGTTCTCCAAAGTCCCTGAAGCCGGTAAGGACGAGACGTTCGAGACCATCCACGGGAAGAAACGCGAGGACAGGAAGGTCTTCCTCAAATATATTAACGAAGAAACATCTGTTTGAAAGCTCGGAAGAGTGTCCACCGGATCAGCGTGCGATTGTCGCGGTGATAGATAGTCCGGAATGGGACGAGGACGAGGCGGTTGAACAGGAAATCAGACAGGCACTCAGAGAAGATACACTGGAGCGCGACACTGAACACGAAGAAGACAATGAGATTGGTGTTATGCGAGTTTTGCGAAGTACGAGCGAGGAAGAGACTCCTAGCACGACTTTAGGTGTATCTAGAACTGCCAGAATCGACTCTTTGCCTCAGGTAATCTGAAAGAAGGATTTATACCCTATTAGTCGTAGCGCTATCAAATGCAATAATTATCGAATTAATTATTTCTAAACTTTTTCTCCTTGGAAAGAATTACTGACCGTCATCATTAATAAAACTTACTGTCCCAGGTAGCACACAGTCGTTTTATATACGTTTCTTAAATGTATCTAATATTTTTTAACCGTAAAGCATTAATAAGAAACGTTCCTATAGAAACGATTCTAAAACCATAGTTAAGGAAATGTATTTTTTACGTTTCTATAGAAATAAAAACTAATTTTTATTAATTTCAAATTAATTTTAACTTATATATACATATGTACACTGCGCGACAACGATTCGTTCCGTGGCCCCTCTCTCGCGGGGCAAGGGGAGCGTAGAAGTGACCAATCAGCTGGCAGCGTGGCAGTGGCTGATTGGTTAGAGGCTACGCTCCCCTTGCCCCGCGAGAGGGACCACGGAACGAATCGTTGTCGCGGAGTGTACATATATATACATATACATACATACATACAATATATATATATATATATATATATATATATATATATATATACACATACATATATAATTATTATGAAAACTATTATATTAATTTCTATTTACAAATATATGAATAAGAATCACTAACAATCAGTATTTCATTGATCTCTAGTAGAAACGCTTCTTTTTTGTTACTTTATCTTATATCTTATTAATTATAGTCAGTGGAAGTAAAATTTTACCACAAAATCAGTAAACGCTAGTTCGTTTGTTTACCGCTACGGTGCGCTATTTTTCTCGTACTTAAGTTTTAGTTTTCATGAGGATTATATAAAGCTTGCAAAAGATGACAGATAAAATTAAAAGTATCACTTCGATTTAATTTGTGATAGAATCTCAATAGAGGAATTTCAGATATTAAATTGATTTTATAAGTCGGACATGTCCGGCGAATAAACAAAAATGATCTGTTCATTATATATTAAAGATGTGTAAAATAAATTATCATCTATTTAACATTCATGTTCTAATATGCATGTAAATATAAATAAAATTTTTAATTTTATATGAAGTAGATAAATTAATATTACTAATTAAAACAGTCAATGTTAATTCTTTTAGTGAAATATTATCGATTCACAGTGCTATAATAACTTATAACTGCATATCAACTGTATATCAGTAACTCTGTTTACTGTTTTCAGTTTACTGATTCATTTTTAGAGAATGTGTATGAATGCATTCTTCATTAATTCCGTAAAAGCCAAATGTTTTACGAATAAAAGAAAAAAAATGTATTTTAAACGTATTTTAAACATTTTTTAAACGTTTTTTTTATTAGAAAAAAAACGTATCTCTTAACGTTCTTCAAGTGGACATTTTAACCAATGAGAAACGTTTTCAAGAGTCGGTTATAAAACGTTTCGAAGAAACATTTGTGAAACGTTTTTGAAACGAATATGTGCTACCTGGGCGTGTAATTCCATATTTTATTTAAGGATATACGAGAAATCTTTTCAATAATTCTGACATTTTGCTCCTTTTTTGTATATTACATCCATATTTGTGATTTATTTTTTTGCCTAAATTTTCAATTATATTCCATTTAGATTTTATCTTTAAAACCACTGTATCAATTGATTAATTTTCCTTTATTTGAGAAATCTCTTGTATACCAACACCTAATTAATACCATGACAATCAGTTAATATTACATTGCCAGGTACAATCGACCACTAGTAGTCGTCTGCTTACAATCGAGCATCCCGATCAAACCCGTCGAGAACGATTCTGGCGGAAACAACGTCGCGACAGCGGGGGTAGAGACAGCGGGATAGAGCCGAGCCCGAGGGTGTCGAGAATTCCACGGAGGCGAAACGCGAGATGCTGTCCCAATACGGCGAAACAGCAAGCTCTCAACATGGAGACCATCACTAGGGACGTGCAAATTAGTCTGCGCCGTTATTATCTCGAAAGGAAGATCTTCTTCCAACTGATGGAGCTGAAGAGGTTGCAGATTCGTCACGGTAGAGCGAATGAGCACGTTCTGGTGAAAAGACAGGTGAGGTCTAGTTATTATTAATTAATTAATATTTATAATAAATAATATTAATTAATATTATTAATATTATTTATTATAAATATTAATTAATGTTGTAAAATATATTAAATGTATTAATATTAAAAACATGAGTAATATTTTTTACTTGAATGAGAGAAGTTAATATCAATATCGGAATATTATGATTGTCCAGAGATATTGATTTGCACAATGGACAATGATTTTTTCAGGTGGAAGCTTTTAATAGATCTGGCATGTCTGGACCCACTCTTGGCGTCGCGAAGTACGATCAACCCTTCACGTTCAGGTTACTGTCAAATCAAATAAATTAATGCGTTGAATAATTTATATAATTATATTATTCACTTATTATAATTATATTATATTATTTGTTAATTATAATTATTATATATTACAATTATATTACAATTATATTACAGTTATATTACAATTATATTACGTTCAAGTTACTGTCAAATCAAATAAATTAATGCGTTGAATAATTTATATAATTATATTATTCACTTATTATAATTATATTATATTATTTGTTAATTATAATTGTTATATATTACAATTATATTACAATTATATTACAGTTATATTACAATTATATTACGCTCAAGTTACTGTCAAATCAAATAAATTAATGCGTTGAATAATTTGTATAATTATATTATTCATTTATTATAATTATATTATATTATTTGTTAATTATAATTGTTATATATTACAATTATATTACAATTATATTACAATTATGTTACAATTATATTACAGTTATATTAAAGTTATATTACAGTTATATTACAATTATATTACAATTATATTACAATTATATTATTCATCTTAATTGGTAAAATATATCATTATTATCAGGCAATTCGAAGCGTTCCTGTACGAACAATTGCGAAGACTGCAGGGAAGACCGACCACTCCAGATTTTTGCACCGAAGCTAAACAATGCACGCAAAAGACTCATCGTTGTCATCACGCGACCAGCGCTTACACCTCTATTCCAGTGTACACGTATCGTAAGTCAATATATTATCGTTTTCAAGTATATAATGTATTGCTTTTTTGACATGTGTGTTTTAATTATTTTAATACGCTATATTTTTTTTTTAAGAAAAAAGATTTAGTGTATAACTATGTATATATCGCTGAAAAATTAAAACGCTTTAATTCTCAAGACCTAGCCATTTATATGTATGTACAGCCCGCGAAGAGTCAGTTTCTGTAGTGTGAATGTAGATTATAATTGCAGTAGGTGGAGACGCCCCAGATCGAGCGGAACATCTTCCGAAGATAGAGAGTCGCGGCAGAGGACACATGACGGTAATAAAATGTAGGGTTGCACGAGATACCAAGATTAGTCTTGATGTTGTCTTGTTTTGTCTTGAATTTCAAGACAAGATCGAGACAAGATTTTTAATTAATTATCAAGACAATACCAAGACTAGGACTGTCAAAATTATTAGTCTTGTCAAGATTATCGGTTCTCCAAAAAAACTAAAATATTTATATTTGTAAATGAAAAAAATCACTATACAGGGTGTTTCATTTTAATCTAGCCAGGCGAATATTTCCAACGCTGTTGAGTTTAGAGAAAAATGTTTCAGACAAAAATTGTATGGTTTCAAGGGGGACATAAGATGGTACCATTGGAATGATGGTACCATGGAATTGTTAATTGCAAATTACATATTTTTTCTTAGAAACAACTATGTGTTTTCTTTAGACCAATTGATTCCTCTCATTATTTTGTACATAAAAGTATTAAGGTAATCGAAAAATAAATATTTTACAAGATATTTTATGATTTATGTAAAATTAAGAAATGATTTCAAGCCTTATAACTCAAGAAATATTTAACGAAAAGGTACTTAATTATAGTGTTTTGGAAAGCTCTCGAGATAAGCTACAAGAATATGTAATGAGAAAATGTAGGTTCCATTTAAGAAATTGAAAGTGACCTTCATGTAATCTTCAAATAACTCTTCCAAGTCAAACCAGTGGTACCGTCTTATGTACCCCTCCGAACCCTACAACTTTTGTCTGAAACATTTTTCTCTAAACTCAACAGTGTTGGAAATATTTGCCTGGCTAGATTAAAATGAAACACCCTGTATACGAATTTAAAAAAATTTTATTCAATAAAAACATTTATATTAATAAATTTAAAAACATTTAATATTAATACAATATAACATTTTTATAAATTAGAAATCAAACTCGCAAATTTTAGACATTAAAGAACATTTCACCCAGGAATTGATGCACATTAGTGCTTTTAAAGATTTACTTTGTAATCTGGTTCTATTTTTTAACATAGTTAGAGTTGTCATTGAGAAAAGTCTTTCTAATGGCATGGACGAGGCAGTTGAACTTAAAATGTCTCGAGCCATTTTTGACAATGTGGGATAAATATGAACCTGATTTTTTTACTACTCCAAAATATTTATATCTGCACATTCCCTTGGAGCCTGTAAATAATTATTAATTTCTGTTTTCCATGAAACAGTAAATCTTTTTTTATGTAAATAAACGGCATTTATATCGATTACATAGTAATAATTATAATTAAAATATCATACAATAGTAATAATTATTTCAAATTATGTTACAAAAATTATGTTAAATATTATTTAAGTAATTTTTTAATATTAGAGAAAAAATTGTTAATAAAATCGAGATAAGACAATACAAGACAAGATTTTTGCTACCAATATTCACTCAAGATCAAGACAAGATTTAAATTTTTGAAAATTTTCAATACCAATACAATATTTTTACGAATATTGTCTTGTCTTGGGTCTTGTGCAACCCTAATAAAATGCATCGTATGAGAAAAACAGAGACGGAAAAACAAAACTTATTGCTCGATAGACATTTAATCTTAATTTATAATTCATAAAGCAAGCAAGGTGTCAATAATTTATAAGTTTCATGTCAATGCAAGTTGTCTATTCTATTCTAGTCTATTATTTTTTTTTCTGTAGGTGGAAGTGACGCATGGAGAAGGAAAACAGGTAATCGCTCTTCCGACTGAGAAATTAGATCGTACCAAAAAATATTTCGTTACGTTCACCGTAAGAGGCGAGACGCAAGACGACGAGAAATCTAAATCATCCTGCACAACACGAAGAAATGCAAAGAGCGTGTGAACACTTCAAACTTCTTCTCCTGTCTATTGATAAAATAATTAATAATTTGTGAAAAAAATACTTTAAAAAAGTACATATTGAGAATTAATTTTTGTGTATGAAAAAAAATATGCTTTCAGAAGCAATTCTATTCTATAAAAAAAAAAGTAAAGTATTGTGAATAATTTTGCTTCGTTCTTTCACAAAAAAGGTTTTCTATTTTAGATATTGTCTGATATGTTACCAAAAAAAACTTTGATCTCTACGACACATATTTTTCTTTTTTTTAAATCCAATAATTCTTCCTAGGACAATTTGCTTGACGCACAAGAATAAAATATAAGAAATATATCTCAAAAACTGCCAGACAAAATAAAATTGTTCAATAAATTCGATGTAAAAAAATCAAATTGCGCTAATTGTGCATGTCTCATTAAATTAATTTGTACAACATTATTTATATATCTCTCTTATACGAATAGCGATGATTATAGTTTCTTGTACCTGAGCAAGAGTCCATAGCTTGTAATTTTCTATTTTCTGTAACCGATGTTAAGAGAAAGATGATTAGAAAGGGGACAAAGTTTTATTGAATGTTGACTCCAATTTACAAGAGAAACAGATTTTTTTGCCAAGATATATAAAATTAAACAACAAATTATTATTTATTATAAAATATGCAAATCATATATTTTTCCTTTTTCTCCCTTGTATTTTCTGAATAAAATATGTAAAATAATATTCTAAATAAAATAAAAGAATGACACAATATTAATTACATCTTCTTGTACATTTTCCATTGTGTATCCTCAAAAAAAATTTTTTGATACAAAAATAATAGAAAATTATTTTGTTAAAAATATAGACTTTATCCCAATAATGAATAATAAATCTTATTGTGATATACAGTATAGATATTATTGTTTTATAGTAATAATAATAATATTAGCAAGCAAGGTAATTGCCTAATAATTTGTCTATAAAATTATACGGATTATTTTTATATATTAAGTAATATATTTTGAGAGAGAATTATTTTGAGAATTATTTTGAGAGAGAATTATTATTTATTCTCTAATATATGCAAATCAAACAAATTCGAGAAAGCAAGTGCGGCAACTATTGAAAGGGTTGGCTCAAAGGATTATCGATTAGTCGGTCGACGTGGTTTCAGGCAAAAAGGACGCGCTTTTCCCTATCAAAGTAACGCTGGTTCGGCAATAGATTGTGTCAACAATGTCGACGCGACTTATCGAATCCGCGATGATGCTGTTCATCAGGCAGCATGAGTATTATTTTATTCGTAGCGTGAAATTTCTGTGAAGAAGCCTTCGAATGGACAAATGGCTCCAAGATAGGAAGCTCTGGCTATTCGGTAGCACGCTGCCGTTGCTACCAAGGAGGTAAACATTCATGTCAAAAGCACATATTTTGATTCAATTAAAATATATCTACCTTTTCGAGTCGATATCTTTTGATTATTTGACATTTTTTTAAAGTGTATTATAATATCAAATTTTATTATAATATCCAATTTTTTCTAATTTCTCTTCGACGTCAATTTTTTGCATAAATATAATACCTAGATTTTGTGATCGTTTGACATTTAGGCTCGATTCCCTACAGCTTCTTAAAATTCCTACTTAAAAACTGTTCTACGATTCTTATGAGATTAAAAAAGACATACCAAATAATTCCAATCGAATACGGTTGGAAGATATATTTATTATATTTGTTGACAAAACATGCATGAGATGTTTATGCATTTTATTAAAATGCAAAAATGTTCCTTTTTATACAAGTATACAACGATAATCTTTTGCCATGATTGAACTAATTATGGCATTATAATATAATGTAATGTGGAAAATCGCTTTATTTGTGATGAACCATAAATCTTGCCACACTTTTAAAATTAAATTAAAATTAAATTAATATATACTTCTCATATATAAAAAGATAATTAATTAACTTAAATCATTTCTCTCATACATATAGCAGAGAATAAAAAAGAAATTTTCTTTTAATAATTTTAAGAAATATATCTTTTAATTTCGCATGTTAATATTTTAATTTTTATCAATTATTATTTTTTAACAATTAATATTTTTCGTAGTCTTCTACTGAAATAAAAAAGAATAATAATTTCATAAAGAATGGATTCCTTTATTTTTGCTCCACTATTTTATAATCTATGCAATTTTTTAATATACATAAAATATTTTGGAGAAAAAAAGTATATAAAATAAATAATAAATATATAAAAAATATACAAAAAATATATAAATATATAAAAAAATAAATAATAAATATATAAATTTACAGAATAAGTTAAACGTGAATAGATCATAGTCACAGATCATACGAAAGTCTTACGTCTTACGGATGTTTTCATGCTTTACATTGCGTAACTTTAGCTATAGAGAGAGTTCGTCCAACAGTCAGAAACATTTTGACCTCTTTCACGGTCAGGATATATAAACGCGTACTCGCGAACGTAATATCGATTGTCAATAATCAAGAGTTGAACAATGTAAAGCGACGTTTCTTCAGCGTATTAGTAGTGTCCGGTATGTTCGTCGACGCGGGTGACCTGGCAAGAGTATTCCATGAATTCCATTCTTGGATTTTTGTACGTATTAATTGTTTTATTATTTCTTTCTTTTTCTGTTTATCGAAACGTCAGACTTGTCTACTCATTGAGCAAGGTACGCCGAAACAAATTACATTATTTAATCGAACCTTCAGAATACGAGAGGTTGAAAAATTATGTAGACAAGTTTATATCATCTATTTTTCACCTCTATTTTTTAATCACATAATTTATTCTGATAAATATGGATTAATTTTCGAGATTTGATTACGTAAAACCTTACGATTACAATATATTGCTAAACGCATTTGTGTAAGATAGATTTTATTCTGAATATGAAAAGAGCTTTTATTGATTATAAATAATTTTCTCATTTTTTTTTATCTTTTTAATATCTAATTCTATCTATTTAATGTCCAACATTAAACTTTCCGAAAAAAATAATCATATATTATGTACAAACGTCCGCTTAAATGATTTATGTTTAAGTGTAAGTGTGTGTATTTTTATAAAATATTAAAATAATAATATAAATATATAAATAATTATAAAATATTAAAATAATATTATTTTTTAAAGAAGAAAAAAATAAAAGAATACTATGTGGTATGTTTTATTTTAATAAAATAGTAAAATAATAATTATATAAAATATTAAAGTAATAATTACATTCTTTTTTGAGAAAAAAGAAGAAAAAATAAAAGAATACTATGATATTCTATATTTTTTTAAATTTTAAATAATTTTGAGTAACGCACATACAATAATATTTTAAAAGTGAAATAATATCTTTTTGAAAGATCAATATAATGAAAACTATTTTATAAAGTTTCAATATTTTTTTCACATTGTTTTAGAAAATAAAGATAAAATTCTGCATATAATTGCATTAATTGTAACTTTTAATAAAATGAAGCACGTTTTCGTGAATTTAGCTATTTAACGTTTCACATCTTTTGATAACCTGGCGTTCTATTTGTCGATTTACTTTCAAAGCACGCATTCGAATGCATCAATTAATTTTCAAAATTGATACATACAATTTATCTCTTCCGAAATTATGGTGTATACATACAAGATCACGTCAATATGATAAACGACGTAAGATTTGCGAACTATCGACAATGCATACCACAGTGGTAAGAGATCTTTAATTCGGCCAGTAACCTCCCCAAATATCGAGATTAATATTAAACATAATACAATTCAATACAATTTTTTTTTATAAAAATAATATTAAAATAAATTAAAATAAATTATATAAAATAAATATTCTTATGTAAAATCAATTTTCAAAATTCGTATAAGAAGATTGATTTTCATCTAACTTATTTCAATATTATTTCGCAAAATATGTGTCAAAACTCACACATTTTGATTCTAATTAATAAAATATATTATTAATAAATGTATCTTTTTAAATTATTTAATGGATATAATAAAAGAAACTTGTTGAGATATATCAACGTTTTACATACATTGCGAGATAATTAAAAATTATGCAAACTTATAATGAAAAATAGAAATATTATATGAAAGACAAAAAATATCCTGATTTTTAAAATCAATTTTTTTAAAATTTCTTCTAAGAAAAATTCGATTTCCTTTTTTTATATATTTAATAGTATTATCAACTTTTTAGTTACTATATCAATAACTATTATATCAACAACTAATTTAAAAAAATATATAACAGGTTCTTCGTTAATTTTATTATTTAACATTTTATAAATATTTTAATAATGAATTCTTAAAGAGCTTATTCGGTTATGCTAGTCCATGAAATTATTTGTGATAGATCAATACCTTCTCCGATTGTGTATCAAATGTCAAAAAGCATTCATTTCATCGAGTAAATTTTTCCTCATTCTTCACGAAATATCTTCAATTTCTATTCCTATATAAGATTCTATTTCCTATATAAGATTCTATTAAATTTTTATTACAATCGCTCTCATAGAAGATAGGTCTAGTGTTTAGTTGACTGATGACGATTGCAATATCGCTATTATTACGCGGTTACAAAAATATCGTACTATTTTAAAACATCAATGTACTAATACTATTTTGATCCGATATTGCAATCGCACATTCACAAGTCTGGTCTGCCGCGTCTGCGCTATAAACATACGGTTTGAATAAAGCAAAACTTGCGGGGCGGCTTGACCCCTGGTCATCCATCGGGATAGAGACAGTCTAACTGGTACCGTCCCTCGTGATACTATGCTCTTTACGCAACAATTTACGTTACCATGCCTTGCCAAATATAAAAAGTAGGTACTCCAGAACGTTAAAAGAAGCTATTTTCAATTTTGTGCTATCAAAAATAATAATAATAAATGGTCACAAAAATCGTTTGCATCGATATCAAATAAATTCTGCCATCTTAATAAAATCATTTGATAAAATTAAGCAAAATTAAATATATGCGAGGAGTTAAAGAAATTTTTAATTTTTAAAAATTGATACAATATTAGGATGATTTCCACCGAGTTAATATATTTTTCGAATTTTAAACAATAATTTGAAACAATATATTTTGCTCCGGTTTATTTCAAATTGATGTGCCTGCGCCGCATTATTTTCATTGAACACGTTTGAATCTTATTTAAATTTTTATTTATTTTAATTTTTTTATTTAAATTTATTAATAATATCGAGAAATAATTTTCGCACAGGTCTCGGGCACCGAGCAAAGCCATGGAACGTTACGAACGTTTGGCTCGACTCGGCGAGGGTAGCTACGGCGTTGTCTTCCAGTGTAGAGATCGGCAAACTGGAAAATTGGTGGCTGTAAAGAAGTTCCAGCAGACCGAGGATGATCCTCTAATACGCAAGATCGCGTTGCGGGAGATACGTCTGTTAAAGGTCAGTTCTTTAAGGGGGTAGCCCTAATTTATTGGATCTTTTTTGCACAATTTTTTTTCCTAGTAGAATTTATTCAAATGTTCTGAGCTAAAATATATTACAATATGAATCTCGAAGAATATGAAGAATTTTTTTTTTTAAATGACATCCGGGAGATCCGGCCACCTGAAGAAAGTCCTTTTTTTTCTGGTGACCACGATTTCTCGAGTTTGGAGCGTCTGAAATAAAAAAGATTCTTAAGAATCACTACATTATTTTTTTTAATAAACGCTAGTAAAGCGAATTTAAATCTCTTACGATATAAGATGTTAATGAAATTAATTTATTTATACGAATTAATTTATCAGGCAATAGAATGTAATTGAAAATAATCGATAAGACAATAAAGCAATTATTTTTCAAATTTAAACCACTATTAAAATTAAAAGAGATATAGATCAATAAAATTGCTTATGATAAAAAGATATAATTGACAGAGAAAATCATTCTTGTGAAAAAACAATAATCTATAAAATGATAATAATTGCAGAAAAGGATTTTTTATAACTGCAATTATTAATTAAAAATCGAAAAATTCTTATCTTTTTCTTCATTTTTCTTGACAAAAATCTAAAGAATCTTTAATAACAAATATGTATAAAATTATGTATGTATAAGATTTTTGGTAGTAATATAAAAATCAATTATTAAAAATAAAAATCGCTGACATAATTTAAATCTCTTACGATATAAGATGTTAATGAAATTCATTTATTTATACGAATTAATTTATCAGGCAATAGAATGTAATTGAAAATAATCGATAAGACAATAAAGCAACTATTTTTCAAATTTAAACCACTAATAAAACTAAAAGAGATATAGATCAATAAAATTGCTTATACTAAAAAGAGAATTGACAGAGAAAAACATTCTTGTGAAAAAACAATAATCTATAAAATGATAATAATTGCAGAAAAGGATTTTTTATGATTGCAATTATTAATTAAAAATCGAAAAATTCTTATCTTTTTTTTCATTTTTCTTGACAAAAATCTAAAAATCTTTAATAACGAATATGTATAAAATTATGTATAAGATATTTTGGTAGTAATATAAAAATCAGTTATTAAAAATAAAATTCGCTGACATAATTTTTAAAGTTTTTCACGCGACTCGATCAATTCATGGAATAACTAATGTAAGTTCGTCGAGGGTCGCATTCGTGTGAGGTGAACGACCTCCGTAACGTATTCGCGATCGCTACTTCTCACCTATAGATAGGACGATGGTCAGTTTCGACCATCTAAGAATTGTTAATAAATTTATGAGATGCAGATAGTCGTGCAAATGTTTTATACTTTTTTTTTTAAATAATGCTTTATCCTTATTTAAATTTAATTATTGAAACAAAAAATTCATGGATAGATATTATGAAATGTAACCGGAGTATAATCGGATTTTTATACATTCAATAAAATTTCTTCTACCATTCTTGAGCCTGTTGTAGAATTGAAGAGGCAGGTACTCCGAATGACGGGGTACTCGCTCATGTGTAGAAGAACTTAGGTTCTTATTTATGCGATAAGAAGCTCGCATATACAATACACAAGTGCAACACGGGCTGCGAGAAGTAGCCAACGGTCAATACGGGACAGCGGTCAATATCTTGGCGTGTTCTGGTCTTTACCGACCTAACTTTATCGTTATGATCATCAACGAGGGTTCACCAAACATATGCACATTCAAATAGGTCCCTTTAAGCTCCGCGATGTTTTGACATTTTACCTCAAGGCTGTTCCCTTCGACAAAAGCATACTGCATTGTATGAGAATGTCCTTTTGGAAATTAACACCAAAGTGTGTTCAATTTTCTTCGCGATGTTTTATACAAAATATCTGCAAAATTATTAATACAATATAAATATAAATTTAAATATAAATTAAATTAAATATAAATTAAATATAATATAAATTAAAATATAATATAATATAAATATAATATAATATAAATATAATTAAATATAATATAAATATAATTAAATATAATATAAATATAAATTAAATATAAATTTAAATATAAATTAAATATAAATTAAATATAAATTTTATGTGGTATTTATTCGATTTTTCTGCTGCGGTTTTTGACCATTATTGTATATTATCTATGCGTCTTTGCTTTTTAATTGTCATCATTTTTGTAAATTTTCCGTTATGAACATTTATGACATTGTAATGCGCTATTTGTTTACTTTATTCTTTGTTCCCGAAACTTATTTTACACGCTTAGATTTTGACTTCTATTATTGTTATTAGACATTGATAAGGATCCGAACGGGATCGAGCGTTTGTCATATTTAAATGTAATGTAAAATACATATACTTCAGTGTAATTTACTATAGCATACTTTCGCCATTGCTCTGGTCCTCTGAGCCTTTGATTAATTTTGTTGAAATATAAATTTATATAGAAAATATAAATTTTTTTAAATCGGGGTCAAAAAATAAAAGAAGGTAAAATAAAAGTTTCTAGGACAAAATTAATGAATTAACAAATTAGTTTCAATAACAAAACGAATCGAGCGTCGATGTTATGACACATTTATTTATTTATTATACAATAAAAAGCATGAAAGAAATAAAAATAAAAATAAAAATAAAAATAAAATGAAAATTAATGCTTCTCTTTTGAGCAGAATCTCAAGCATCCGAATCTGGTCAATCTCCTGGAAGTCTTCAGACGGAAGAGAAAGTTACATCTGGTATTCGAATATTGCGAGAACACTCTTCTCAATGAGATGGAGAAATATCCCAGCGGTTGTCCAGATATCACGACCAGGCAGATCACTTGGCAGATCCTACAGGGTGTCGCTTATTGTCATCGTCTTGGATGCGTTCACAGAGACGTGAAGCCGGAAAACATTCTCATTACCTCGGAAGGCGTGGTAAAATTATGCGACTTTGGGTTCGCGCGTATGCTCAGTCCTGGTGAAAATTACACGGAATATGTCGCGACCAGGTGGTACAGGGCACCCGAATTACTGGTAAATATCACGTATGCACCTCTCACCTTGCTTGCTCGAGATATTTGCTGAATAAAAATTGAACGTAGAGAGATATTTAATTCTAGGTTCTAGAGAAATATTTAATTCTTAATTCTAATATTAAACATATATATTATATAATTATATATACCAGATGTATGCATAAGTTTTTTCCGGTTTTTTGGTAAAAAAAAACACGTAATTTTCAAGGGAAATTAATTTTTTTTATTCAAAATATTGGCCATCGGCTTCTACACATTTCGCCCATCTTTCAGGTAATTTATGAATACCATGCCAGAAAATGCCTGCTTGTCTTTTGCGGCAAACCATTCATCGAGCCATTTTCCAACTTCCTCAAAATTGCTAAAGTACTGCTCTGCGAGCGCGTGCCCCATTGATGCGAAGTAGAGAACCTCTAGGAGAGAGAATGGACAACTGATCATGTGACATGTGATCAAGCTTTTTCATGATTGGCTGGCAGAAAATGTATCAATTTTAGTTATTGCGACGCCAATGCAAAATATGATGACACACAAATAGGTTAATATAACCTATTTGTGTATCATCATATTTTGCATTGGCGTCGCAATAGCTAAAATTGATACATTTTCTGCCAGCCAATCATGAAAAAGCTTGATCAGTTGTTCATTCTCTCTCCTAGAGGTTCTCTAATGCGAAGAGGTGATAGTCAGATGGCGCCAGGTCTGGGGAGTACGGCGGGTGCGGAAAGATGTCCCATCCAAGCGATTTCAAGGTGTCTTTCATTGGTTTTGCTGTGTGAGACGGCGCATTGTCGTGTAACAAAATCACTTTGCCATGTCTTCTGGCCCATTCCGGTCGTCTTTCGATTAATGCGTGGTTTAAATTAATCATTTGTTGGCGATAGCGTTGTGTATTAACGGTTTCGCCGGGCTTCAAGAGTTCATAATACACAATATCGCTCTGGTCCCACCAGACACAGAGCATGGTCTTCTTGCCAAAGCGATTTGGCCTTGGTGTTGATGGACCGGTTTCGCCAGGTGAAAGCCACGATTTTTTCCGCTTCGGGTTTTCAAAATAAATCCATTTTTCGTCACCCGTCACAATTCGATGCAAAAATGATTTCCTTTCGTAGCGTTGAAGCAGCATTTCACAAGTGACTTTGCGATTTTCCATTTGACGTTCATTCAAATTATGTGGGACCTATTTACCGAGTTTATTGATCTTTCCCATTGCTCGTAAACGTCTGCTGATTGTTTCTTGTGATACATGTAATGCTTCTGCTAATTGCCGTTGAGTTTGAGTTGGGTCTTCATCCAATAACTCCTGCAATTGCTCGTTTTCGCATTTTTGTGGTCTACCAGAGCGCTCACTGTCTTTCACATTGAAATCACCACTTTTAAATTGTCGAAACCATGTCTCACATGTTCTAATCGATGGAGCATATTCACCATATGTTTCTACCAGCAAACGATGACTTTCAACAGCCTTTTTCTTTTGATTAAATAAGAAAAGCAATGCGTGCCGCAAATGTTCTTTTTGAGGCACAAAACTCGACATGATCACTGAACGATAAAACAAAGACGCTAGTTTTTGGCGGACTCAACTTGTGTGTGTTTGTAATTTTAAATGTCAGACGAACAAAATGACGTATGTGTCAAATTAATACGCTGCGTACTTTTCGCTGGTGCCATCTCTTAGTTAAACCGAAAAAACTTATGGTATATTAAGATGCTGGGTCGGCATGTTTTAAATAAAGTGTTTAAAACTGTTTGATTAAAACTTGTTTAAAATAGTGGACACTGTTTTAAACATTTTTGTTTTAAACTACTGTTTAGAACCGTTTAAAATATCACAAATAAAATATATGATTATTTGAAAAAGAAATTGTAAAAAAAATAAAAAACAAACAAAAACTAATAGATGTGTATGTTGCAAAAAAGTTTTTGTTTTAGTGTTTTCAGTTTTTTATCTATATTTATGTAACATATATAGATATAAAAATATAAATAATAAAATAAAAATGATAAGATGGATATTATTTTAGCAGAATATTTATTTTTGGATATTAAATAACAATCAATACAATAAAGATTACTTAGAAGATATTGCCTGACTTTACATTTTAGCATTTTAAATTAATAGTACATAACTCATAGTAGGTCAGTAATTCTAAAAAAAAGTTCTTCTTTTAAAAAGAAGAATTGAGGTTTTTTTATTTTTCTTTTATTTATAATTTATGTTGAGAATAAAGCATTACTTAATAAGAATAGGAAAGGAAACAAAGTATTATATATTAAACACTATTAACTAGAACTTTTTTTCTCCAAAAATAAATAGCTCCAAAAATAAATATTCTGCTAAAATAATACCCATCTTATCATTTTTATTTTATTATTTATATTTTTAATAGCGTTGTCAATTTTGGCAACGTTATTTACAGTTTAACGCTAGCGAAAAATTTAAATATTTAGATCAAAGGTATTAAGTGTTTTTTGCTTGTTTAAAACATGCCTTTTTTGTTTAAAATATGTTTTTTTTTACTTTACTTAAAAACACAAATAAAACAAAAAACATTGTTCTAAACAAAAAAAAACAATGTTTTTTGTTTAAAATAAAAAAAAACAAGTTTCTTGCCAACCCTGTTAAGATGAGATTAAAAGAGTTTGATTTTGGATTGACTTTGGATAGATATTAAAAGTTAAAAAAAACTACACTCTAATTACTGCGTTTTATTAAAGGTCTTTAATAGCCCTTTTTTTGTTTTTTTTTTTATTTTTAATTATGATGCGGCGATTAATTACCCGTTTTCCGGAACAGGTCGGGGACACGCAGTATGGTACTCCGGTTGACGTATGGGCAATCGGTTGCGTGTTTGCGGAATTAATACGGGGTGAAGCATTGTGGCCAGGAAAATCCGATGTAGATCAGTTGTATTTAATAAGAAGAACGCTGGGCGATCTCTTACCAAGGCACATGGCTATCTTTCAACAGAACGAATTCTTTACCGGTATTACTCTTCCAACACCACAAACGCTTACGCCTCTCGAAGACGCTTTACCCCGTGGAAATAATAGTCCTGTACAGGTAATGGCAACAAGCTCGATTTAATTACAGAAAAAACAAAATGTAATTGCATATAAAAGCGTCAATATCAAAAATTTTAATTATAAAAATCTCGATAAATATATTTTAAAAAATATGAAGAAACTCTTTCAAAAGTTGTTACACAAAATTTAAAAAAAATATCATATATCCAGTAAGCACAAAGTAACAGTAATATAATATTAATGTCATAATACCCACTCAACAATATAACTGTTATATAACATTAATGTTATAATTCCCACTCAACAATATAACTGTTATATAACATTAATGTTATAATTCCTACTCAACAATGTAACTGTTAAATAACATTAATATTATAATTCCCGTTCAACAAAATAACAATAATATAACATTAATGTTATAATTCCCACTCAACAATGTTACTGTTATATAACATTAATGTTATAATTCCCACTCAACAATGTAACTGTTATATAACATTAATATTATAATTCCCATTCAACAAAATAACAGTAATATAACATTAATGTTATAATTCCCACTCAACAATGTTACTGTTATATAACATTAATGTTATAATTCCCATTCAACAAAATAACAGTAATATAACATTAATGTTATAATTCTCTCTCAACAATGTTACTGTTATATAACATTAATGTTATAATTCCCACTCAACAATGTAACTGTATATAACATTATATAACATTAATATTATAATTCCCATTCAACAAAATAACAGTAATATAACATAAATATTATAATTCCTATTCAACAAAATAACAGTAATGTAACATTAATGTTATAATTTCCACTCAACAATATAACTGTTATATAACATTAATGTTATAATTTCTATTCTACAATGTAATTGTTATATAAAAAGCATGTTATATTATAGTTACATTGTAGAGGAGGAAAGTATAACATTAATGTTATATTATTATTACTTTGTGTTTATTAGAATACACATTTACACTGTTTGCCAGTGAAATAATGTGATCGTGTACAATTTGCTACTTCTCGTACGGAAAAGTCGTACGACAAGTGCTACATTGAACGCACGTGTGATATAAAAATTATTTCGATGAATCATGTATCAAATCATCTTTCCGACAGTTGGATTTCCTGAAAAAATGCTTGGATAAAGATCCAAATGAGAGATGGACATGCGAACTGTTATTACGACACTCTTACTTCGACAATTTTCATTTCAAAATGCCAGATGTCGAGACAGAAGAGTTCGAAAAACTTAAAAAGTATCGAGAACGTTCTCGGGTAAGTTTAATTAATAAATTAATAATATATATATATATATATATATATATATATATATATATATATATATATATATACAGGGTGACCCATTTTAACTTAGGCAGCCAAATAACTCGAAAAATAAGCACACTACGAAAAAATGGTTAGAATCAAAATTTCGTCATTTCGAGGGGGACGTACAATGACGTTAAAGTCAGCCCCCCCACCCCTCCCCCTGGGCGGTGAGGGGGGGCAAGTTTGAAATCTTAAATGGGAACCCCTATTTTTCATTGCATATTCTTGTAGCTTATCTCGAGAGCTTTCCAAAACACTATAATTAAGTACCTTTTTATTAAGTACTTTTTGAGTTATAAGGCTTGAAATAATTTCTTAATTTTACATAAACCATAAAATATCTAGTAAACCATTCATTTTTCGATTATCTTACCTTCATACTTTTATGTATAAAATAATGAGAGGAATCAATTGGTGTAAAGAAAACATACAGTTGTTTTTAAGAAAAAATATGGAATTGTTAATTGCAAATTACATATTTTTTCTTAGAAACAACTATGTGTTTTCTTTACACCAATTGATTCCTCTCATTATTTTGTACATAAAAGTATGAAGGTAAGATAATCGAAAAATGAATGGTTTACTAGATATTTTATGGTTTATGTAAAATTAAGAAATTATTTCAAGCCTTATAACTCAAAAAGTACTTAATAAAAAGGTACTTAATTATAGTGTTTTGGAAAGCTCTCGAGATAAGCTACAAGAATATGCAATGAAAAATAGGGGTTCCCATTTAAGATTTCAAACTTGCCCCCCCTCACCGCCCAGGGGGAGGGGTGGGGAGGCTGATTTTAACGTCATTGAACGTCCCCCTCGAAATGACGAAATTTTGATTCTAACCATTTTTTCGTAGTGTGCTTATTTTTCGAGTTATTTGGCTGCCTAAGTTAAAATGGGTCACCCTGTATATACAGTAATGTATATACAGGGTAATGTATATATATATATATATATATATATATATATATATTAATAATATATATAATAATTATTAATAAATTAATAATTGATGAAATATCCAGAAAATATAAGTCGGACAATAAAATCTATCAAGATAAAGAATTTTCTATTGTGTAAGATTTGTCGACAGATTTATTGCATTACTCAACATTTTGTTTACAATTTATGGGGGAAAAGATTACGAATGTGTGTTCGTATTTACAGAATACTAATTACAGTCAAATGGTGTTACCCCAGTTACCCAAGGCTGGCCCTTCAGTTCATAGCCATAGTGAAAGTCGACCGAAGAGCTCCTCTATACATCAACAAAATTTTGACCATCTACCTACTATAAGAGGTTAATTCTGTGATTGTACATATATTTTCCTAAGCTTTTTAAGGGAATGTTCACGTTAATTTATAGAATTTTATGAAAATAATTGTTATATATTATCCTTTTGTTTGTATTCGCACATTTTTTCTTATGAAAGATTTTTCTTTAGGTTTTGATTTTCTGTTTATAAATAGAAATAAGCATGTGCAATTCATATGTATATCTCTTACAATAAAAGTTTTGTATAAAACGAGAGAAATTTATTTTCTGTACATCATATTCTGTAAGCAAGGCAGGTAATATTGCTGCTCCAACCGCAGAGAATGTTTCATTTTAATGAAAACTCCTAAACCTTGGAAAGAATAGCATAAAAAACTAACAATCTATTATTTAACATCTAAAAGTTAGAAAAAAATAAACATTATTTATAACAACAAACAAAATTTTCAAACATTATTTATAACAACAAACAAATTTTATATATTACATTCTTGCATTACTTTATTCTGCAGTTTCTACGGTTTCTGTGGTTTTCTTATACAATTTAGTTAGGGGATGCTCATGTCTTTCAGGCGGTGGTACATAATATTTCTGCAGAACAAACCAACCTATGTGAAATCCTATGATTGCTGGTATCATGATAGCGTAGGTAGGATTTCTCCATATCCATGACTTCTTCGCATTAGATTTCTGAGACATTTTTTATCATGCAATAGGAACTGGTAGTATATTCACATTCGCTTTTGCTTCACAATATACCTAAAAAAATAAAAAAGATTTCCTTTAATATATTTATATTAAATATATAAAATATATAAAATGTAACATCTACGCAATTGAATGAAAAATAATTCTTTGTTTATCATAAATGTATTTACAAGTTACAATAAATTATATAATGTAATAATTTTCTTAACATCATTGATATTAGTAGCAAAAAATGTACAAAAATATAGAAAAAAAATTCAAGAAAAAAAAATACATATATAGGGTGTATTTTAAAAAGCTCCCACTAAGCAAATAGCGTTATTCCTGAATAAAAACCAAGTCGAAAAGTCCTGAACCATTTTTTTTTTCAAGATTCATTAAATAATTAATCAGATTTAAGTATTAAAAAGATTTCGGAAAAGATGATGAATTGTTTAAAAATTAACACAGTTTATTTTTTTGCTTACCCAAATCTTCATATGTTGATAACGAGGAAGTTTGTCTTTTTATTGACTTTATTCATTAATTACTGCTTTATTAAGCATTATGGAAAAAATGATTCAGGACTTTTTGCTTAGTGGCAGCTTTTTAAGATACACCCTATATATGTATTTTTTTTTCTTGAATTTTTTTTCTATATTTTTGTACATTTTTTACTACTAATATCAATGTTGTTAAGAAAATTATTATATTACATAATTTATATCAATATTTTTAACGACAAATAACAATAACATTAAAATACTAACCTAACCTAATCTAACCCAAAATACTAACCTAAACTAGCCTAACCTAAAATACGTCCTAATCTAACCTATATACATTAACAAAAGTATTTTATAAAATATGATAATACACTTAGAAATTGATTCAATCATAAAATCATTTTCCAACTTTTTTTTGACACAGTTTTTGACGATAATCGAACAACTTAATACCAATCAAGTTAGTCTTTCAAAAAAGTCGAAACTCACCGCAATCTCGTGAGCGACAAATTTTGAGTAATCGAGCTGTTATTTTGGCTGCGTTCGAAAATCCAGTTCAACAGAGTAGTGTTTGATCGACCAATCAAGATTTTTGTTTCCTTCATCCTGATTGGTCAATAAACACTATCTACTTCGACGAGTAGATTTCAGAACAAACCTGTGGAAGTTCAAAAGGCGGGAAAAATGACGGTAAACAGTTTCCTTAACCTTTGTTAAGCCTTGCGAGGAATGTGCGGTGAGAAAATAATGTAAAATGATTTCTTTTCCAACGATCAAATATAATTAATTTTTACTTAATAGGTCGTGCTTTTTTATTCACAATTAGCTTAGTAATTTGTACTTTTATTTAACGACGATGGCTGATAATAAATGTGCACAGATGATTCAAACAAATTTTTCTTTACACGGTCTGATACTGTCTAGGTAAGTGATTTGTATTTTTTTCAAAAGTTAAGATTAGGGGAAAACTTCTAAATAAAATTTAAAAAATAGATATTTATAAATACAAAAATCATATGAAGATAAATATACTTTAAATTTTGTTCAAAGATAAATATTTTTTCATTCAGTCTTGTTTCAAAATATTTATCAATGTATTCATATATTTATATAATTTTTATTTACTTCTTGTAATGATTATATTTTCAAATTATTTATTTTCCTACATAATTGATTGTATTTTTATAATTGTTTATATTGATTGTATTTATAATTTTATTTATAATTTATTTATAATTTATAATTTTTTATTATTTATAATTTTATTTATAATTTATTATTTATAATTTTTTGTTTATGTATCTTTTTCAGGGAACTCAGAATATCTCTTACCAAACAGCTGTTAAAGATACCAGAAGATGAACGTGAATCCTGGCTGAATCGCATTATAGAGCTGGTCCTTGCTCAAAACTTAAATGATCCGCATGTTAGCGCGGAACATATAAAACTTGCCATAGAGGAATGTGTGGAACCAAATAAATTAAAAGATACAGAAACAGTATTTAACGTTATAAGTGGATACGATATACCAAAAATAAAATATGACATTTGCAAAAAAAAGTTTACTATAGACAATGAAAACTTGTATCCTGAAACACAATACAAGTCATTAATTTTTAAACATCGTTTTGAAATGGTATGGTACAAAACTTTGAGACATAAGCAATTCCAGTCTTCCAAGTTTGAGAAACAGCAGGCAGATAAAACAAATATCATACCTATTGAATATCTGTTGAGTGAACTGAAAACAGGAAGAGTATGCATAATGGGCCTGATAACACAATTAATGGAGGATCAATATTTTTTGGAAGATACAACTGGAACTGTTAAAATTGACATAAGCAGTACAATATCCTTTACAATATCTGTATATATATATATATATATATATATATATATATATATATATAAAATTAATATATAAAATTAAAATATAAATTTAATATATAAAATTAATATATAAAATTAATAAAATTAATATAAATTTAATATATAAAATTAATATATAAAATTAAAATATATATATATATATAATTATTTTTAAGTTTATTTTTAAAGCAAAGCCAAATATTATAATAACACTTATTGCAATAATATATATATATATATATATATATATATATATTATTGCAATAAGTGTTATTATAATATAAAGTATATAAAATAAAGTATAAAGTAAATATAAATATAAAGTAAATATAAAATAAGTGTTATTATAATATTTGGCTTTGCTTTAAAAATAAATTTAAAAATAATTTTTTTAAACAAAATTTTTTAGTAAAAATATGGAAATGTTACCAAAACTTAACAACATTCAAAAAATTTGAAAACATTAATTTCCAGATTCATGTATAAAATATTTTCTTGTCTTCTCAACATTGATATTTGACTAATTCTTTCAACAATATGATATGAATGGAATAAAAATATCTTTGCGATATGGCAGTAAGAATAGGACCAAGTTTTTTCCTTATCTTAGGTCTTACGATTTTCAGGATACTTTCATTATGGAGGGCTGTATAGTAATTGTTAATGGTGTTTACAAGGATGATGTATTACATGTGGAGAATGTCAACTTCCCACCGATAGAATCATCAGAAAGCATGCGGTCAGATTTTGGTGACACTAATACATTTGGTGGACCGCATAATCTCTCTTTGAAAATGTCGGAAAAGTTACAAATTCATGAAGAAAACGATCCGGATGGAATGATAATATTCATAGCGGAACTATGGCTGGACATGCCAAATGTGTTGCAAAAATTTAAAACAGTGCTGGAAGGATACACGGATTATCCTCCTATAGCTTTCGTGTTATGCGGTCATTTCTTGAGCTTTCCCACAAATGTAACCAGCCCACAAGCCTTAATAACGGGTTTTAAAAATTTGGCTGATGTAATAGCGCAGTATCCGAACGTCAAAGAATCCTCTAAATTTGTTTTCGTACCCGGTCCCCACGATCTAGGCTCGCCTAAGATTTTACCGAAACCTCCTTTGCCCAAGTGCATTGTCGAGGAAGTCACCAAGCTAGTACCGAACGCTATTTTCACTACAAATCCGTGCAGAATACAATACTGTACAAAAGAGATTGTGATATTGAGGGAGGATATGTTGACAAAGATGTGCAGGAACGCACTTCGTTTTCCGAAAGAGGAACATTTCTTTAAACATGTAAGCGAGCGATCAGATTTCACCAACTATCGTCAAAGAAGTATTACATGATGATACAATTTTTTTCTAAATTAAAATGAATTTAAGAGGCCATAAAGAGCCAACGCAGTTGTAGGGCGTGGAAAAAATCATTTGGCATTTTTTGATTTTATTAGAATCACTGAAGATGGCTTGAATTGAGTCCGAAACGTTTGGAATAAAGAAGAAAGATCGGTTGAATTGACTGTTTTCCTGGAAAATTTTTTTCTTGCTCTTAAATTCATTTTAATTTGTTAATTTTGGGAGCCTTTTTTTGGGGGAAATTTTTTTTTGCTCTTAAATTCATTTTAATTTGTTAATTTTGGGAGCCTTTAACTTCGTGTATTTTATGCTAATTTTTTTCTAGTTCGCCAAAACTATCGTAAGCCAATCACATTTGACTCCTGTACCTCTCCAAGTTGTTCCAATCTATTGGAGGTACGACCATGCCCTCCAAGTGTTTCCAACGCCAGATCTCATAGTGATTGCTGACAATTTTGGAACATACACGACCGATTATGCAGACTGTTATGTGATAAATCCAGGAATGTTTTCGAAAAACAACTTTTCGTTTCAAGCTTACGTGCCCGCCATCAATCAAATCCAAGATTGCCAGCTTCCAAATGACATTGATATTTCTTGAAAAAGATAAGTTTGAAATAATTGAAAAATTTTGACAATTTGATAATTTATAATTATTGTGCTAGTCTTTTATAATTTTATATATTTATTTTACCTTTGTAACACAAAATCTTATTTTTACAATACTTTAAAAATGGGTCGGAAATAGATCACTTAAATCATAACTTGATACTGATACTAAATACAAAACAAATTAAATTAAATTCAAGGAATAATTTAATCACACGCGAAGATTTTCTGGGCTGAAAATGGGAGGAGGGGGTGAAAATGAGGGAGAGAAATAATTTGTTCTTACAATTAGTCCTTTGTATCCAACAATATTACAGCAGAAAATATTGAGAAGTAACTTTGTCGTGATTTTTTAAGAGATGGAATATTAATATAATGAATATAATACCTCTTTCTAATTATCTTAAAATGCTTCTCTCATATTTCCTATATTAAGATGACTAATAGGATCTTACATCAGACTTTCCGAATAGGACAAATGGTACACACTTGCTTATTCTTTCCTATCAATTATATATAAATTATATATAAATAAATATTTATATATATATAAAAGCTATTTATATAGCTATTTATATATATATAAAAAATATTATATATAAATAGCTACATATAATATTAAACGTAGTGTTTCTCTACCATTTTTGCAATGTACATAACATTATACAGGTACAGACTGAATCCCAATTTATTTCAATTTATCGCACTGGAAGCATAAATCAATTACTGGCCATGGTAAACCAAATATGATCATTATGTATTAAGCGTAAAAAGTCGTTAACAGTAACATTACAACATGATAATACTAACATTTTGTTTGCAAGTGAGCAATATCATTTCTGCAGCGATCAGCAATTGCGTTAATATTGCTAAGAAATGGCGCATACAAACATTACAGGGACATAAATTTACTTGAAATACAATCAAGATGTAAAATATATGTATAATAATATTTGCAATAGTGAATTCCTGTGGAAGAAATTTTTTTGTACATATATCTTACAAATTTTTCGCTCAAAATATTCCAAATACTATACGCTTTTCGTTAGAGTAGAATCGTTGATATATTTTACACAGGGGAAATTAATGGCCGATACAGGTATATAAGTTTCCTTCTTAAAATATGGGAAGCAGACATTTTGAATATTCATTGCAACGTACGAACGTAGAATCTTTAAGGTCGAAATAAACGATTACATATATAAGTGTAAATTGCAACAACTACACACATTAATTCATCACATATATATTACAGTGCCATCTGTAAAAAAAAAAAAGGAAAAAAAAAAGAAGAAAGTACGCTTTTATACTTTTATTGCACTTCCTCGTAAACACGCATTGTCCGATATAATTTTTTTCATATGCTATTCAATTCCTCCTGCAAAAATTATAATACATTAATAATATATAATTATAGTACATTAATATTATAATATAATATTATAATATTATTATAATATTATAATTAAAATAATTAAAAATTATTATTATTAAAATAATTAAAAATTATAATATTATATAATATTATAATTATAATATTATAATATTATTATAATATTATAATATTATAATATTATTATATGTTATAATATTATATATACTCACACGCAAAAAAATGGGCCACTAAATTTCAGCACAATTTTTTACATCTTTCTTTATAGCGATAAATCTGCAAAAATCATTATATTGAGATGAAATAAAGCTCAAATTAAAGCTTAAACATTCCTTTCAAAAATAAAACAAACTCAAATTTAAAAAATGTTTCCCAAAATGGCGGACATTGAAGATAAACTTTGAGAAATGGGAAACAAATTTGTTGTAACTCAAATTTGATTTATTGCTATTGAAAGATGTTAAAAAAATTGTGCTAATTTAGTGACCCGTTTTTATGCGTGCGAGTGCATTATAATATTATTATAATATATTAATATATATTTTATATAAAATATATATATTTTATAAATTATTATATTTTATAAATATATATTTTAATATTACATATTTTAATAATATATATTTTATATAAAATATTAATTTTAAATAGTAATTTTAGTCCAATCAGATGGCGTAATAAGTTCGCACTCTATGTCTCACGAACTATTATTCTTCGTATAGTTCTCTTAAAAAATAAATTTGTGCTCTAGCTTATCATATATTTACAAGTAGAATTAATATTATAATTTTTGCATTTTGCCACATGAATAAAATGTTTATATATAATAATAGAATATATAAGCATGTATATGGGAACTTTTCATCCTTATGACGAGTCCAATCCGATCCCTGATTTTGACTAATTATTTCAGGACCACTCTGTATATCCTTCGATTAACGTAAAACTGAATTTTCTTTTACAAAAAGATAATTCCTTAATGTTATTTTTTACATTTTATTAATCATACTACAAAGATAAAACAAATGTATTGAAACTTAATAACGTTCTTTTTAATTTCGAGCGAAATCGCATGCGAGTCATATATAGTTCATAAGATATGGAAATGCGAAAAATTACTACGCTGTTACTCGAAATTATAATTTTACCTATAATTAATAATCTTAATTCATAATTTTAATACACATGAACATAATAAAAATAGCAAGATATAAAATTTTAAAATCTTAGGATTTCTAAAGTAAAAAGCAAGATCTTTAAGATTTAAGATCTTAAGGTTTCTGTTTATAAGATATCTTGGTATAGCGAGGATTAATTTCATTCTAATCATCATTGATATGCAAAAATGACTAGTTTGTGTATTGGAGAAAGGGGTAAAGAAATAAATGCTCCATGCGATCATTTACGCACTTTCTCTTTGATATCTCCGGCAAGCCTGATTCCTTTCTTCGGCGTCGAAATACCAAAGTGTGATAGCATATCTCGTTTTGTATGCTGGTTGCACCTCGTGCGGATTCCGCCTGTCGGACCAGAAAAATAGTATCCTGTCGAAAAGTGGTTCGATATCTGCTACTTGATCGCGCCATCCTTCGGGAAATATCCTCAAAAGTCCGCCATTCTCCTGCGTGAAATAAAACAAATAAGCAATTATTTATAAATTCCATTGTTACATACAATTATTATATCCTTATATTATTCATTGGCTTCAAGAACGACGTTACATTTGCGAGATCTTATTAAGGTTTCCGATTCGCGGGTTAAAATAATGAATTGTAATGTATTAAAAGAAAAGAATCAATTTTGTAATTTTAATAGTTTTTAAGAAGAGATATACAGGGAAGACAGAGATTACAAAAATATGTAATTGTTAATTGCAAATTACATATTTTTTCTTAAAAATAACTATGTGTTTTCTTTACACCAATTGATTTCTCTCATTATTTTGTACATAAAAGTATTAAAGCAAGATAATCGAAAAATGAATATTTTACTAGATATTTTACGGTTTATACAAAATTAAGAAATTATTTCAAGCCTCATAACTCGAAAAGTACTCAATGAAGAAATACTTTATTATAGTGTTTTGGAAAGCTCTCGAGATAAGCTACACGAATATGTAATAAAAAATAGGGGGTTCCATTTAAGAAATTGAAAGTTATCTTTACGTCATTTTCAAATGACTCTCCAAGGTCAAATCATTGCCACTATCTGATGGCCCCCTTCAAGCCATACAACTTTTATCTGAAACATTTTTTTGATTTTTCATTATTTTCCGAAATATTTGAGTGGATCACTTAAAATGGCCCACCCTGTATAATTGTTAATTAAGAAGAAATATGTAATTATGTGTTTTCTTTACAACAATTGATTCCTCTCATTATTTTGTACATAAAAGTATTAAGGTAAGATGATCGAAAAATGAATATTTTATCAGATATTTTATGGTTTATGTAAAATTAAGAAATTATTTGAAGCCTCATAACTCAAAAAATACTCAATGAAAAAATACTTCATTATAGTGTTTTGAAAAGCTCTCGAGGTAAGCTACAAGAATATGCAATAAAAAATTGAGGTTCCCATTTAAGAATTTGAAGGTGACTTTCATGTGATCTCCAAACGACTGTCCAAAGTCAAATAATTGCTACTATCTTATGCCCCCTTTGAAGCCATACAACTTTTGTCTGAAACATTTTTTTGAGAAACTTCCCTTTTGAGACATCTGCGTGGATTGATTAAAATGATCTACCCCGTATAATCTCAGTTATTTGTAGTACGATATTTGTAAAATTGAGGAAGTTTCTCGTATATGATTAAATATGTTTTCCTCGTACGTAATGTTATAAGTATAATTAAAGACATATACGCATATATGGAATTGTACCTTGATGTCCCAATCTCGGTTAAGATAATAAATAGCCGTGATGCAACGCCCATCTCGGTTAGGATTATCCACATGTTTCACGTAATGCGAACCGTGACCAGGATAACAAGCCACCATTGCCTAGAACGTAAAAGAAAAAATAAATTTTATTGAAAGAGAGAATCGTAATCTCGTAAGTTATATCGTGATTAACAAAAATGAATTTTAAATATATTCAATTATTAAATATATTAAATATATTAAATATATTCAATTATTGAAATATCAGATTTTATGCGATATAAAAAAAAATGATTGACATATTTTACGATCAAGTGAAAGTAAGGAAATGTATTATCTTTCTCTTCACTAAATGTGTAAAATATAAATATATTTATTTTGTCACATACAATCATTTATATCCTAATATTTATATTTGAACTTAAAAAGAGTACAAATATTTTAACAGTTTTAATTTAATTAAATTAATTTAATTAAATTAATTTAATTTAATTTAATTTAATTAATTTAATTCAAAAAATTGTATGAATACTAGTTGTTAAAAATTGTATGAATACTATTGTATGAATACAAATGAAAATGTATTTCGAGTGATCGTGTCAAGACTATTCATTAAAAAAAAAAAAAAAAAAGAGGACAAAAATGCACAAGGCAGAATCGTAATAATGCGCATTGACATGTGTCAAATTTAAATATGAAAGGATGAATAAGAACTGTTTCACATCAGATAAATTCGTGGAAAAATATTAGTAACTTTTCAAAATACTTGTTTACAAATTCATGGAAAAATATTAGTGACTTTTCAAAATACTTGTTTACAAAAGTAAAGATATAGAACTAAAACCAGTTATTCACATATGATGTGCACTTTAGAAAATTATTAATCTAATCATGAATGAAAGAGGAAAAAGCCGGGAAAATTACCCGTGACACATCTAGTATATATATATATATATATATATATATTATTGTTGCATTTTTTGTGAAAATGCAACAGACAGATACAATGATTGTATTAATGCACAGATATATATTTTGTGTTTTTTGTTCAATCTCGATTATCAAATGATATACTAGTGTACATCTTATAACGCAACACTTGATTGCAAAGACGTATTTTACGTGCGAATCATTTTTTCTGATAATAAAATATTTTCATTGCAATAATCCGATGATAATCGGAAATATAGGAATTCTTGCTATTGTAATAATTCTTACGTCAATTCCTAGTTTTTCTTTCAGAGAAAAAATATAGAAGTATTTTTCTCTAAGCAACTGTGTTTTTCCAATTATAGACTCTTTAATAAAGTTTAAATCCGAGGAAATAGTCGTTGAAAGAAAATTGAATTATTATCCTTATAAATATTTTAACGTGTACGTTTTAAATCGATAATTTATACATCAAGAAATGTGAAATGTTACACTTATAAATAAAGATTAGATAGATGTGTCAATTTTGACGAAGACACCTTTTTATCGAGATACCCTTGGAACTTCAAAATTTTATCATAGTCGTACTCATATTCGAACAAGATTTCGCTGACAATTAATAATCGTATCTATCGTATGATAATTAAATATGTAAATGTACTTCTTCGAAGCTTGCTTGGAAATCTTGTATGTTAGATTAATAACATTTTAATTTACTTACACAGAAAAAAAAAGAAGTGTCAAATAAAAACTTATATACTTAAACTAACGCGTTTAAATCAAAGATTATAATTTTCTTAAAGTGGAATTAAATAATTGTATAATATATATTTATAATATTTATAATATTTATTTAATATATATTTATAATTATATAATATATATTTATAATATTTATTTATATAATTAAATAATTATATAATATAAATTATATAATTAAATAATTATATAAATATATTAAAATGGAATTAAATAATTATATAATATATATTTATAATATTTATTTATATAATTAAATAATTATATAAATATATTAAAGTGGAATTAAATATTATATAAATTATATAAATGGTTTCGTATATACGCAACAATTTCTAATCTTCTTCGAAGAATTTAATAATTTTAAATTTCAACAATATTATCGTCTTATTTTAATATTGTAATTGTCATCTCAAGAATATATAATTATTTAATTCCACTTTAAGAAAATTATAATCTTTGATTTAAAAATGTTATTTTCTGTCCATCATTGTTTCTTTTCTATTCAAGAAAAATAAATCTTAAATCATGAGAATATATTTTTCTCAATTGAACTATATAAAATGGCTTCATTCAAGTAAGCAATTATTCAAGCAATTATATTTTTCTTAAATTAACGCGATATAATCTCAAGATTTCCATGTTAAAATTAAATATATTTTCAAAATAAGAATGTCCTTTTTTTCTGTGTAGTAAAAAGAAGTACACTAATCGACCGTCAATTTCTTTTATTCATTAGCCATTATTCGAACAAGATTTCGCTTATCTTTCATACGAAAATACGCATTCGTTTATAAACGGATTAACACATCTCAACTATATGTATCATAAATATTAACACACGCGCGTATAAATTACAGCACAATCGTGAACACATAATATTGCGCAAAATAAAATGTTTGATAAATTGAATGCGCAGAACATATATCCCTGTCTCATTATGTATATGTATATGAAAGAGTAATCATATATTTAACTAAAAATAGACACTGATAAATCATACAAAAGAACAATGATATAGTCGCATCGAATAATATTAAACAGGTACGAGTTTAACGAACTGCAATACAATCGCCGATAAAACGGGAAATATATTCTGTATCTGTTGATTAAATAAAAAAACTGATGTATACACAGGATATTATGTTTAAATGTTGAAGAAACATAGAAAGAATATACTGCTATGTAAGAGAAAATTAAATTCCGAGAGGTTTTAAATTTCATATAATTATCATTAAATTCCTCTTTCGACGGCAAGTTTTATTTTTTCCTCGTCTTGTGTATCAAATCTCTACATTTTTCAAGAAAATTAAATAAAATAAATATATATATATATAAAATAAATATATATAAAATAAATATATATATAATATATATATATATAAAATAAATATATATTATTATTATTGTATTCTCATGGTTGATTCATTTATAGCAATAATAATATTTTTTTTGGAATAAGAAAGTGACGCTTTTCAGAAAAAAAAGAAAATTAAATTATTTAAAATCAGAAGAGGAAAAATTGAAAAGTCTTAAACAAAGTGGCTTAAATACATTATTTTAACCGTTGCATAATTTTTCTCATAAAAATATAAACTATTTATTTTAATTAATAAATATAAACTATTTATTTTTAATAAATTATTATTTTTGGTTACTATTTTTATGTAAATTATTTTATATAAATTATTATATAAATTATATATTATATAAATTATTTTATATAAATTATTTTATATAAATTATTATATAAATTATTTATAAATTACTTATTTTATAATTTCATTCATTTTACAATTACTTATTTTATTTATTTTTCTTACGAGAATATAAATTATTTTAATAAGAAAAGATTTTAGCTATCACACGTACGTGTCTCTTGTTAAATTCCTAAATTGTCGCGTTTAAATATTAAATATTACAAAAAAGTATCGAGTAATCAGATCGGAGATCAATCAATATTTGTTGGCAAAATCTTGCCGAGGGAACCGACGCAATTCGGCAGCCGGGCGGGAGATGAACATATGTAATATGAAAATGTGTAACGTGATTCGCGCGTAGATGTGAGAGTCGAGGAAGAAGGTGGGAGTCGTGCGGCGTACGTGACTGACTGCACTTCGCGCTCTCGTTCCCCTCTCTTCCTTCTTTCGACGTGACACTCCTCCTCTCTCTCTCTCTCTCTCTCTCTCGCAGATGATGACTACATTTTTGGAAATCTTGACCTTGTCTATCACATTCACCTCGGCGTGTCATCGCGACATTGTTCCCACGTCCAAGAAAATCGCATATATCCTGCTAATATTTCTCCTCTTGAGCCACGATTGCATATGTATGAAAGAGAAAGATACCTCGTCTCGTTTAATTAAAATTCAGATCAGGTGGATATTAAATATGCAGCTGTCTTATCGGGGGCGCACGCGCTGTCCGAGATAAATTATTTTATAAATAATTATTTCGGTGAAAAATAATTAACTGGACTTTTAATTCTTTGCATCTTTTTCACCTTTTTACGTTGAATTTTAATATTTTTTCCATTATATATTAGCTTACGTTATCCATTTATCTTGTTTCACCTTTATTTTACATGGGCATCGTCAACATAATGAGATACCGAGACACTTAGTATTACTTTGGGCGGCATTCTATCCCATCGATTCAGATGTGTAACACCTTTGTTATATTTTTATCACATCATCACATTTGCGCTGAAGATGACCCAAAAATAGGGTCGAAACGTTCGCTATTCCTTCCTTTCATTTTTATTTTATTTGTTTCATGCCTTTTATTGTATAATAAATAAATAAATGTGTCATAACATCGATTGCTATTGAAACTAATTTGTTAAAAATAATTAATTTCTTTTAGGCTTACTTGTAATATAATTATGATACCACAAAAACGGGATGTACTTACTTTTGTTCTTCCATTGATCGTATAGTTCCCTATCTTTCCATTATTGTGCATTTTATTGGCTCTCATAATGATCGCATCGACCCGCGAGATCAGCATGCCAATATTCTGACACTGATGTTCCTTGCCATCCAACCATATTATTTGATCACCACGTATCGTCTTTAAGTCGTTTGTGCTACCCTTATTGGAGACCAACTGTCCGTCCTCGAACAATCCGGCACTGTACATGTATAAAACCTCGTTTAGCACTGCGAGACCCTTCTCCATGCCTAGAAACTTGTCCACCACGCACACACCGTACTTGTCCATGTCCCTTATCACATATTGGCAAATTTTGTCTATAAACTCCTCGAGATTATTTCTATTCCTATGTAGAAAAGGGGGCAAGAGCTCCTCCTCCTGGCCCAGTCGCACCTCAGGGAAGTTCTTCATGCCGTTGTGATGTTGGACTGGCAGACCCAGGTCCGCGTTGCTCAGGCCCTCGAGAAACCTCGAGCTCTCTAGAGCAGGGTTCAGGAGCTCGGCCCGTGCTCCCAGGATAGTGTCCTCCGAGCTTCCCTCGTACGTTATAGGCGACGTCCAACCGTCAGCCTTGTTGTTACGCGCCTTTCTCGTCCTTCCACCGTTCGACTTCTTCTTCAGATTCTGATTCTCCTTCCTTTCTTGCTGACGACTCGATCCGTTCTCCCCCTGAGTGACGGAATCTACGATCAAATGAACGTATGTACAAGCTTTCTGTCAACTTTATCAAGTCGAGGAGCGATAATAGCGAGCTTTATATCGCCAGGGTATCTATATATCTCTACAGCTGTGCGATCCTCGAGTAACCGACAATAAAGTATTGCCGAGCTATTTATATCACAAATTTATCGGCGACTGGGATTCATTGTTTATTACTGCGCAATAGCGCGGATTCCGGCTGAAAGAAGGAAAGACGAAGGAAAAGAAAAAAAGAAAAACACAAGTGTACCTAGGACAGGCTTCGCGTTCCTAGACGCCGACTCCGAGGTAACGTTCGGCGCATCCGGGGCTGGGGACTTGCTCAGGTTAGGAACCGGAACGTTCGGCGTCGACGACCTGACGGGCCGCTGCCTGGACGGGGTGTCGCGCGGGTTCCTGGACCCGGGGGACGAGGGATGGGCCGACTCGGTCGGGTCCTCGCGCGCGGGATGAGTCGCGCAGAACTCCCGGTGGCGCTTCCAGTCGCGCCTCTGATGCTCCTTGGTGCAGTAGAAGACGGCCTTGCAGCGCGAACACCTGAGCAGCTTGTCAGTTCGGTCGCAGACCGCGCAGACGGTCACCCGTGACGACGCGTCGCCGACTATCGCGCGAGCATCACCTTCGCCGCGCGTGGCTCGCGGGCGACTGACGGGGTCGGACGTTGTTGGCGTCGAGGTCGACATCGGCCAACTTCACGCGTTCGACGTCGGCCAACTTCACGCTTTCCGCTCACTTCACTCGGATAATGCCGTCGCGTTGCGCGACGACATTTCTTGGACGACGAGGAGGAGAGTGATAACATGCGCCGCCAGCCGCTCCGATCAGCTCCTCTCGACGGAATCCCGTTTCTCCGTTTCATCCGATTCGCGCTGCCGCCGTTCAGTGTCGCGGCAAGCTTGACCGGCGCCTCCGGTCAGGAGGAACATGGTGGTACCCCAGGGTACGCGGTGCGACATATGAACTCGAGAATCGAACTTTCTGTCTTTCGGGTCTAAAAATAACGTTTGCCAAAAGCGCGACGAATAAAGATTCCCGGAATGAAAATTCGGGACTTATTTTCGACGAGGTCGCGGAGCAGGCGAGAACTAGACGCGCCTAGGCCCAAACCTGGTGCCTAGTGACTTGGAATTTAGCGGCGACCAATCGCTTTTCCCTAGAGACCCTCTATGCTAGGGAATAAAGCGACGACCAATCCAACCGTCATTTCCTCCAAGCAGTGCGTTCGAAAATGTGTTTGGTTGGTGTTGGGAAAAAAGATAAAGTTGGCAGTATTGAAAACTCCCAGTGCTGCGTTTCGTTTCTCCCACTGGGATCATTAAGATTGTATTGTACCGTATGTACATACATACAATATATGAAAGTATTGCAATTATACTAATTATTATTATGGAACAATATATTTTACTCGAAAACATTATTTTTGAATCTTCGAGTAGTTCTTCTTCAGATAGTAATGATAATAATGAAGAATTACAAAATATTTTATTCGAAAATAAAGGTGAAAGGAAAATAGTACCAAAAATAACAGATTATTTGGAAAATGTTACCAGATATACAAATATTGAATTTAAATCACATTTTAGGTAAATTATGTCACTTTATTATAATTATAACATTATTAATATAAAACACACGTTCGTATTAATAATAATATATGTGATGTTATTAAACATATTATTATAAAATATATTTAATTACTTTACTCTTTACCTCTTTTAATATCTCAAGTAGCAAATTTTTTTAATCCTAGTGATCCCAGTGGGAGAAACGAAACGCAGCACTGGGAGTTTTCAATACTGCCAACTTTATCTTTTTTCCCAACATCAATCAAACATATTTTCGAACGCACTAAAGCCACAGACTAAGGGCCTATCCAGACAAACTTGCATAGGTGCATATGCATAACATAAGACCATATGGACCAATGAGCATCGAGTATTAAATCGCTATATTGACTTACATAACATAATACTCGATGCTCATTGGTCCATATGGTCTTATGTTATGCATATGCACCTATGCAAGTTTGTCTGGATAGGCTCTAAAGGCCGCAGCACACACTTTTTCATAAGCGCATAACCATAAGCATAAGGAAATTGATTGGTCCCCAAGTATATGCATAAGAAAATGAACCAATCAATTTTCTTATGCTTATGGTTATGCACTTATGCAAAAGTGTGTGCTGCGGCCTTAAAGCACTATGAGAAGAGTAGAGAGTAGTTAAGTAGTGATGCCAACCACTGAAACAAAATTCGGTAAGCTAGATTAGATTTTGACAAGTTGCATTTTCACAAAATATACATAAGTGAAATGTTGAAAATTTATAAATTTTGTAAATAAATGTATATAATTAATTACATAAATGTATGTAATTGTAAATAAATGTATTAATCCTACTGCCATTGTAGATGACATAAGGTGGAAGCACATAAAATTACAGGAGCGCATAAGCATAAGAAAATTGATTGGTTCATTTTCTTATGCATATATTTGTGACCAATCAATTTCCTTATGCTTATAGTTATGCGCCTATGCAATTTTATATGCTTTCAGCGGCCTTTTCGTTGACGCTAAAAAGTAGCGTCAACCATTGGTTGAACAAAGAAGTAAGTAGTTGCTTCATTGTTCAACCAATGGTTGACGCTACTTTTTAGCGTCAATGAAATTGCACCTTTCGTCTTTGCACGATTATAGCGCCTTCATCTAATCCTCATCCCGTATCTCTCTCTATCACGTTATTTATAAAGAAGATGCACTGCTTTTTCACTCTACTTTACCGATATTTTAGATACGGAGTGAAATTTTCCGAAGAAAGTCATTTATTAATTAGGCAATTAAATTCAGTTTTTATAGTTCGACAATGTTCTATGGTGCAGTACACAATCGTAAAAGTTACTGTTTTATGCATAAAAGCTATAAAACTTTTATAAGAAGCTAATATTTGTACGAGTTAATAGCCATGTTGATTTAAGAATAAATAAAAATGTAATTTTATACTTATTTTCGTTCTCATTTTATACTTATTTTCTTTCTGGAGAAGGATTTTTAATTCTACAGGCAATAAAAAATAGTACACTTCCGAAAATTACGGCGTTTTTGTCGATAAAACAGACGACTTTAGGATCCCCTTAATTAATTTTTTTAAACATATTGATCAGCTGCAGAATAAAAAGTTTTTAAAAACTGAAAAAATTAATATCCCGCAGCCAATCAATGTGCTTAAAAAATTTGTCGTACGACAAATGTAATATCGGTCTAATAAGAGATAAATTTTTGGCCAAACTTCGATTGAAAAATTCGCTCCGAAGGATCGAAATCATCTGTCAAAAATCGAAGAAAGAAACTTGCAATTACTTCGTACATTGAATAAAGATAAAAGAATATTGAATAATTAAAATATTGAGAAAGATATCGTGATTTGCGCACATTTTTCGTCAACCGTACACGTGATTTCATTTCGAAAAGACGGAGAAAAAAGCAGGAGGGAGACAAAAAAGAACGCGGAAATTCCGCGGCGAAGTAAGCGATCCGATATGATTGGATCATCGTGTGCCTTTCACTGCGATTGGTTCGCCTTACGTAAAGTACAGTTTACGTGTGCGTGTTGGTAAATGTTCACATTTCGTACACACACACAACACACATACACAGACGTCACTTTAGATTGACAGTATTTTCGCTGGCGCACTTCTGTCAACTTGTCAGTTTCATGTGAAATCGTGACAGGGCGAGGACGACGTATCTCTTCGACGTCTCTCCTTTCAACAGGTAAGTCCAATCTCGCGGATGGAAACGATATTGAAGTGACGGTACGTTCACCACACATGTGAAACTCATCATTATGGAGAGAAAAAAAAAACACTTGTGCCTCTGTCGAGCGTGAGAAATCTACCAGATATTTATACTTTTTTATTATTATTTATTTTTATATTTTTTATTTATTTTTACTCGTAACTAATTAAATTCGTTTTGACACGCTGTTCCATCTAGTACGGGTTCTTAGCCTTGATTATTATTTTGATTTTCTTTCAATTTTACATACGAACCTTTGTGTCTCTTTATAATTTTTTTATATTTTTTTTTATTTCGATCACATTTTATTTTGGATCCTAAAACGTGTACCTGCTCGAGAGACGACAATATGCGTTGACACTCGACCAGAATTACACAATCTCTGTCTCTCTCTCTCTCGCACACACTTGGCGGTTCATGTTTATGCTACATATATGAAACGCAAAGTGGATAGGAATATGTATGCGTTTACGTGCATGTATGTCTATTTTTATGCCTTGAGACAGATAACAAGTTATTTTTCTCCCTTTCTATCGTAATTTTTGAGAGAAATTTAATGTTAACAAAGATGGTGTAATTTCAACGAGTGTTACACCAAATGAGGTAATAGTTGAATCATGCATGTAAATTAATGTAAGCTACTTGTCGATCACTTGTGATTCAAGGCCAAACATTATCTACATGCCACATTGTTGTTACAGATTGCAAAGATGGGATCGATAGGATAGGAGCGTTTTGAAATTTGTACTAGATGCTGCCCAAGGGTGCAAAATCCTCCGTATTACAGTAATGTATGCGCAAATACTAATAATCTGTAGAAGAAGATTTGGATTTAAATATTGGAAGATGTCTGTAATGAGCATTTGTGCACAAGAGAAATAAACTGATAAATGAATGATATACAAATCAATCGCTGCTGAGATATAAGTAGATTGTGTTTTATGCATTGTATTTGCATTCGTATCATTACTGAATATTATGTCGGGTACTGGACCAATCATATCGCAAAACATTGCTCGTCTACCAGAGAAGGAGCACGAATCGATTGTAGACTACTCTAGTATCAGAGGAAAGGTATATTGAGGTTCCATGCAAAATTTATGTATCCTTTGATATATACTTCGATTGTACTTTATACAGGGTGTCCCATTTTAATGTCCCACCCCAAATAACTTTCTTATTTTTAATTTTAGAAGAAGATGTTTCAGACAAAAGTTGTATGGTTTCTAGGGGGACATAAGATGGTGCCATTAGTTTGACCTTGCAGAGTCACATGAAGGTTACGTGAAGGTCATTTTGAATTTCTTAAATGGAACACCCTATATATTTTTGCATATTCTTGTAGCTTATCTCGAGAGCTTTCCGAAACACTATAAATAAACATTTTTTCATCAAGTACTTTTCGAATTATGAGGCTTCAAATCATTTCTTAATTTTACATAAACTATAAAATATCTTGTAAAATATTCATTTTTCGATTATCTTATCTTAATACTTTTATGTACAAAATAATGAGAGGACTCAATTGGTGTAAAGAAAACACAGTTGTTTTTAAGAAAAAATATGGAATTGTTAATTGCAAATTCCCCTAGAAACCATACAACTTTTGTCTGAAACATCTTTTTCTAAAATTAAAAGTAAGAAAGTTATTTGGGGTGGGACATTAAAATGGGACACCCTGTATAATATTTAAAAATAAATTATAAAAGAAAATTTAGAATATATAATATATATATATATATATATATATATATATATAATTTTATATATATTTAAATATATAATTTATATATATTATATATATTTTATATATATAAATATATTTTATATATATATATATATATATATATATATATATATATATAAAAGAAAATTTATAATATGCATATATTATAATTTTCTTTTTCAGAATGTCTTGGTCAGTCCATCCGAGGACCAATACGAGTTACTGTTAAGAAGATTGAAAGAAAGGATTCAGGATGGAGGCAGCGAGACAATTTTTGAAATTGGTATTGCTGAAGGTATGGGTTTTTCAAAATGTTCAAAAGTAAAAATGATGCAATATTTCGTGACGAATTAATTCTTATATTAATTAGAAATCTTTGAATCGGTTGATTCTTAACGATTACGTAATTCATTTAGATGGAACTGAAAGTGGATTAAAGGAGGACGAGTATGAAGCATCAGTTGCCACTTTACAATCTCTTGCTGCAACATTGGAAGCAGACTGCGTACTTTTACGCCAGATTAAAGCAGATCACGGACTTACGGGGCAATATCTAGTGAGAAGACGTCTGGATCGACAAGATTTCCTAGAGATTAGGTTTTTATTTAATAATTATCCTCTGCAATCATCGTCGGCAATTTTGTAATTTTTAGTGTAAAACGAATTATCCAATTGTTTACAGAGTTGCTGTTGTTGGTAACGTGGATGCCGGTAAATCAACGTTATTGGGAGTGTTGACTCATGGTGAACTCGACAATGGACGAGGTCTGGCACGTCAAAAATTATTTCGTCATAAGCACGAGGCTGAAACAGGCCGGACCAGCTCAGTTGGAAATGACATACTCGGATTCGATAGCGTTGGTGAGTATTAGTTTTTTATTGCATGCTTTATTTATCACCTCTTACTATTGTACCCAGTGTTTGCTGGTAGATGATTATCTAGATAAAATTATCTAGATAATCATCTAGATAAAGAAATGGCTCATCTTTATTTTTAACTAGATGAAGAAATACAAATCTTTATCTTTATCTTAGATGAAAAATATATGTCATCTTATCTAAAAATTGTCTAAGATGACGTTTTCATTATGCAAAAAAGTTTTCCAGGCATGCTTCTAAAAATCTATCTAAAATATATTTTTTATATTATTATTATTAATATATTATAAATATATTATTATTATATTATTAATATATTATAAATATACTATTATTATATTATTAATATATTATAAATATATTATTATTATATTATTAATATATTATAAATATATTATAAATATAAATTAATAAATAAATATTTATCATATAATTTATATACCTTTTTGCTATTATTTAAATATTCTTTAAAAAAAGAGAAAGAATACGTGTTTATGATTTTAATATCCCATTTATAATCTGCGTCAATTTTTTACAAATATTTATAGCCTTCTAAAATAAACAAAAATATCTACATAATTATCTAGATTATCGCAATAATTATCTCATCTTTCATCTAGATTAAGTAAAAGCAAAATCATCTTTATCTCATCTAAGCTAAATTTACGGATTTTGATCTTTATCTTTATCTAGATAATTTTGAAATTATCTATAGCAATCACTGATTGTACCATTATATATTTGTAGGTAATGTAGTTAATAAACCTGAGCATGGATCGTTGGATTGGGTGAAAATATGTGAGAAGTCTTCTAAAGTAATAACATTTATCGATCTTGCTGGCCATGAGAGATATTTGAAGACGACTGTTTTCGGAATGACGGGACACGCTCCAGACTTTGGTAAAAACACATTATATTGTTACTACAATTGCAAAGTATAACAAACATATCTTACTCATCGGCCATGGCATTGTTTGCCCTTAAAACAGCTCGACGAATACATTGTATAATCTTAATGCAAATATTATTTCAGGTATGTTAATGATTGGAGCGAACGCCGGCATTGTTGGAATGACTAAGGAGCACTTGGGCCTCGCCTTAGCGTTGTCCGTACCTGTATTCGTCGTCGTGACGAAAATCGACATGTGTCCACCGAATGTCCTGCAGGAAAATTTAAAGCTACTGATAAGGATTCTCAAGTCCCCTGGTTGTAGGAAAGTTCCGGTTACAGTTAAGACACCTGACGATGTAGTAGTTAGCGCTACGAATTTTGTCTCAGAACGGTAAATTTATCGTGTCTAATATACAGGGTGGCCCCGAACGTTCCAGCCAGACTTTGAGATCTTATAGGAAATTTAATTCTGAACAAAAAAAATTTCCTAAACATGGGTCAAAAAATGCTTCCTTAAGAAGTTATCGCTCAAAAATGTCTGATGAAGGAAGAGCAAAAGATGAAAAGAAAATGAAATAAAAAGAAAATGAAACAAAATAAATTTCTTGAAAAAAAAAAACGGTAAAAAGAAAAAATAAAAATTTTTTTCTCTTATGATAATAAAATAATTATAATAATAAATAAAATAATTATGATAATAAATAAAATAATTTTTTTTTAAACTAACTTTTATTTTTATTTTATTTTCATAAAAGAAAGATTTTTATTTTTTATTTTTATCGTCTTTTTCAAGAAATTTATTTAGTTTCGTTTTCTTTTTATTTCATTTTCTTTTCACCTTTTGCTCTTCCTTCATCAGACGTTTTTGAGCGATAACTTCTTAAGGAAGCATTTTTCGACCCATGTTTAGGAAATTTTTTTTGTTCAGAATTAAATTTCCTATAAGATCTCAAAGTCTGGCTGGAACGTTCGGGGCCATCCTGTATACATATTAAGCTCTACGTAAAGAAAAATGATATAAGACTACAACAGTATTATAATACTCGCAGATTATGTCCAATTTTCCAAGTATCCAACGTATCCGGCGAAAATTTAAGTCTTCTCAAGATGTTTCTCAACTTGCTGACTGCAAGAATTACTAGTCACGATGATGAACCTGCCGAGTTTCAAATCGACGACACATACTCTGTACCAGTATGTATTACGTTACACACAAATGATATTTTTTTTTTATTACACGTAAATTATAGATCTTATAATGACAATTTTTAGGGAGTCGGTACTGTAGTGTCTGGTACAACTTTGAAGGGTATTATAAGATTAAACGATACCTTGTTACTAGGACCCGATCCGTTGGGTCGATTCATACCTATAGCCGTCAAAAGTATTCATCGAAAGAGGATGCCGGTCCGCGAAGTCAGAGGCGGACAAACAGCTAGTTTCGCCCTGAAAAAGATCAAACGATCGCACATTCGTAAGGGCATGGTAATGGTCGCACCCGCGCTCAATCCACAGGCTTGTTGGGAATTTGAAGGTGAAATTTTGGTGTTACATCACCCTACAACAATCAGTTCACGCTATCAGGCAATGGGTAATTATTTCTTTAGTGATTATTATGCAGGGTTGGCAAAAAATTTGTTTTTTTTTGTTTAAAACAATGTTTTTCGTTTTATTTGTGTTTTTAAGTAAAGTAAAAAAAACATGTTTTAAACAAGCAAAACACTGAATAGCTTTGATAAATATTTAGCTTTGTGTAAATATTTAAATCTTTTCGCTAGCGTTAAACTGTAAATAACGTTGCCAAAATTGACAATGCTATTAAAAATATAAATAATAAAATAAAAATGATAAGATGGGTATTATTTTAGCAGAATATTTATTTTTGGAGAAAAGAGTTCGTTAATAATATTTAATATAAAATACTTTGGTTCCTTTCCTATTCTTATTTAGTAATCTGCTTAACTCTCAACATAAATTATAAATAAAAGAAAAATAAAAAACCTCAACTCTTCTTTTTAAAAGAACTTTTTTTTTTAGAACTACTGACCTGCTATGAGTTATGTACTATTAATTTAAAATGCTAAAATGTAAAATGTAAAGTCAGTCAATATCTTCTAAGTAATCTTTATTGTATTGATTGTTATTTAATACTCAAAAATAAATATTCTGCTAAAATAATATCCATATTATCATTTTTATTTTATTATTTATATTTTTATATCTATATGTTACATAAATATAGATAAAAAATTAAAAGCACTAAAACAAAAACTTTTTTGCAATATACACATCTATTAGTGTTTGTTTGTTTTTGATATTTTTTACAATTTCTTTTCCAAATAATCATATATTTTATTTACGATATTTTAAACGATTCTAAACAGTAGTTTAAAATAGTTTAAAACAAAAATGTTTAAAACAGTGTCCACTATTTTAAACAAGTTTTAATCAAACAATTTTAAACACATTGTTTCAAACATGCCAACCCTGTTATTATGCATCTCGTATTAATGTGCATTGGAAAAATTGTTACAGTACATTGTGGCAGCATAAGGCAAACTGCTTCTATATTGTCCATGTCTCAGGATTGTTTGAGGACGGGCGATAAAGCACTGGTACATTTTAGATTTATCAAACATCCGGAATATATAAAGCCTGGACAGAGAATGGTATTTAGAGAAGGTCGTACTAAAGCAGTAGGAAATGTAGTGAAACTTATACCGCATTCAAATAATACTACGCAAACATCAAGAATTAACAAACCGAACAAATCGCAAACTCGACAAAATACAAATATACAGGTATAATTTATCCAGTATGGTAAAATTAAAATAATCATTTCTCTCATCAGATTTCATTTATTCTGTTTTTCTATAAATAATTGATTTTAACGAAAGAAGCAAAAATATAAATAGATGTAATTTTGCATCCTTAGGCGCTGGAAATAACCGAAGCCGACTCTATTATTGAGGAACAAACAGCCAAACAAGAAAATGTACCGCAAAAATCTGGTTTGAATCAAAATAAGAAAAGTAGAGGTCGAAGAGGTGGAAGATCTCATAATGCTATCAACAGTATTCAACCTTTAACAGAGCAAAACCCCCCTGCAAAAGTGTAAGAGCTTCAATGTACAAAAAGAACAATGTATTATTAGTGCTCTTTCTACTATGTACAAGTTTCTCAAAGGGATGATCCACAACATAAGTTACTTTATTTAAAATTTTTTTCTCTGAAAAGAAAAGAAAATTTACTCTAGAAAATTACTTTACAGTTCATATAATAAATTTATTAGAATACAAACAATTTCACGCGTCTCAACTATTCATATTTTCAAAAATATTCTTTTCTTTAGCAATATAATAAAATATAAATCGCTATTTATAGATCGTATTATTTTTCTGAAAGGCACATGTGTGTGTAAAATTAGTGTCAGGAAATACATATATTGTGTCTTTTATTTCTATAATAAAAGTATATGCAGTACGTACATCATGGATCACAGATCTATACATTTGTATAAATGAGTGCAAATACAATCTCTTTTTCAATGCCTTCAGAGTTTAATGATAAAATTTGACATATTGATATGTTGCGTTTCAGTATATACTCAGTATATACTTCTATCTATATTTATCTACATTGTATAAAAATTCATGTGTGTGTGTATATATATATATATATATATATATATATATATATATATATATATATATATACAGGGTGGCCCCGAACGTTCCAGCCAGACTTTGAGATTTTATAGGAAATTTAATTCTGAACAAAAAATTCCTATAAACATGGGTCGAAAAATGCTTCCTTAAGAAGTTATCGCTCAAAAACCTCTGATGAAGGAAGAACAAAAGGTGAAAAGAAAATGAAACTAAATAAATTTCTTGAAAAAAAAAACGGTAAAAAGAAAAAATAAAAATTTTTTTCTCTTATGATAATAAATAAAATAATTTTTTTTTAAACTAACTTTTATTTTTATTTTATTTTCATAAAAGGAAAAGATTTTTATTTTTTATTTTTATCGTCTTTTTCAAGAAATTTATTTAGTTTCATTTTCTTTTTATCTTTTGCTCTTCCTTTATCAGACGTTTTTAAGCGATAACTTCTTAAGGAAGCATTTTTCGACCCTTGTTTATAGGAAATTTTTTGTTCAGAATTAAATTTCCTATAAGATCTCAAAGTCTGGCTGGAACGTTCGGGGCCACCCTGTATATATATATATATATATATATATATATATATATATATATATATATATATATATACATACATACATACACATGTCATTTATATCGTTTATTTTTAAAGTACATCTTGCAAAAAAGAAGAATAAGAAACACATTATATTTCAAATGCTAAAACGAAAATTTCTTATTGCAGTCACATTTATTTCTTAATAAATACTATTATCATTTACATGCTTCCGAATGCGGAAGAAAGAGACACACATTTCTTTTACATTATATTGAAACAATTTCTACAAAATAATTGAGCACTTGTTTGTCGTCGACTTTACATATTGCTAAAATATTGTGATTCAAAATTCAATAAAACTGAAGAAACGAAAATTTTGTTTCATTATTTAAGAAATTTTTACATGTTTTGCTTTTCTAAAATAACAAATTGTAATCTTTGCTATATACAAGATCTAATATAGGAATCACATATATATAAGGTCTTGCAAAAATACATATAAATAATAATAATCTACACTCATTATTTCGGTGGATTTTTCTTAAATTCATTTTTTGACTCTTCCAGCTGTTGCTTTAATTGCTGTGCAATATCTCGCAACTGTTTAACAAAGTCTCGCGGACTAGAAATAGTACGGTTTCCGTGAATCATACCTGTTCTAATTAGTACATACACTACAAACTGTGCACTTTGTCTAATTGGTTTGGATTCTGCCAATTTATTAATCAAATTTTCATTATTTAGGAAATAATGAAACAGAGCTCTGAAAAAACGCATTTTTGGAAGATATAAGATTGCTTTTCTATATATTTGCAAACAACAAATGTGCACATTTATATTTTTGGTATTTCAAATGTACACATATTACGATATTTTAATAAAAGTTCACGCTTTAGTCTCAACTGCTGGCGTGAAATCTCCAGTCTTTGTAACTGCTCTTCTTGACTATATTCTATTCCAGATAATCTCTTAATCTATAAAGTATAACAAATATTATGCAATATTATGCAAAGCATTCTGATTATATAAAATACATTTGCTTATATGTACACAGAATTTTAACTTTTACTTGCGATCTTACAGAATCTAATTTCTTCTGCAATTCTAGGATTTTGTGGCTGGTATCCTGCGACTCTTTCGCCTTTTGCGTAGTGTCATGTGGATCTTTTTCAACACTAGAAATTATAAATATTATTACCTTATGTCAATATACAAATAATATAAAATGTATAGCCAAATATATCTATCTGATTAATGATTCATATACAGGGTGACCCCGTTCCAGCCAAACTTTGAGATCTTATAGGAAATTTAATTCTGAACAAAAAATTTCGGGGGAGGAAGAGCAAAAGGTGAAAAGAAAATGAAATAAAAAGAAAATGAAACTAAATAAATTTCTTGAAAAAGACGACAAAAATAAAAAATAAAAATCTTTTTCTTTTATGAAAATAAAATAATTTTTTTTTAATTAACTTTTACTTTATTTTCATAAAGAAAAAAATTTTTATTTTTTATTTTTATCGTTTTTTTTTCAAGAAATTTATTTAGTTTCATTTTTTTTCACCTTTTGCTCTTCCTTCATCAGAAGTTTTTGAGCGATAACTTCTTAAGGAAGCATTTTTCGACCCATGTTTATAGGAAATTTTTTGATCAGAATTAAATTTCCTACAAGATCTCAAAGTCTGGCTGGAACGTTCGGGGCCACCCTGTAAATATATAGGATGAGTCACATAAGACCAGTCACCCAAATAACTCGTACAGTTTTAGTGATAGGAAAAAATGTTTGAAGTAAAAATTATTTATTATCAAGGGAGACATCATATTACGGGGAAAATTTTTTTTAGGTGAAAGTACATAGGAGATTTGAAGGTCAACTTAAAAATTTTAAATGGAAATCCTTATTTCTTATTACATATTCTCGTAGCTTATCTCAAGAGCTTTCCAAAACACTATAATTAAGTTATTTTTCATTAAATATTTTTCGAATTATAAGACTCGAAGTAATTTCTTAATTTTATATAAACTGTAAAATATTTCATAAAATATTCATTTTTCGATGATCTTAGTTCAATACTTTTATGCACAAAATGAGAAGAATTAATGAGAAGAATTAATTGGTGTAAAGAAAACATAGTTGTTTCTAAGAAAAAATATGTAATTGTTAATTGCAAATTATATATTTTTTTTTAGAAACAATTCTATTAGTTCTATTATATTATTGCTTACAAATTTGATCAAATATCTTATAAATATCCTGCATCAATTTTTAATCATTTTACACACTTTTATCATCATTTTATATTTTTCTACAGTTATCGATCACAGATATTCATATCGCAATAGATGAATAGACATAAGTAACATAGAATAAATAAAAAAATCGATATGAGAAAGAAGTAACATAAATATATTTGCCCTTTTCCTTTTGAAACAGTGATTTATTTATAGCACTAGTGAGCTGCCATAATAATGCAGCGCATTTTATACTAAACTATTTTAATTAATTATATATAGACATTTATTTACCACGAACAGCATACATGACGTTGATGCATGAATCGAGTCAGAATAAAAACAAATAAAAAATACATTATGATATATATTCGATATTTTAATTAAGAAGAGAAATCACTTAAAATTTTTTTTAAAGACAATATTGGAAAGAAAGATTTTAATTCTAGCCAATTTGAGGTTATGCGTACAATTTATTCACACCATTGAAATATATACCATACTGGAAGGCGCACAGGCTACCCCCTCCATTCGTCAAAACGGTCAGACAAGGCAGTGACTCGGTACCGGATTTCTCTTTCTATCTCGTCTACTCTCTTAGCTGAAAACATTCGCCTTGCGCACACATATATACATATACATATAGGACAATTTATACATACATATTATATATTAACAATTTTTATTAAACAATATACATTGTTTTTATTAAATAATTTTATAATGTAAAAATAAATTTTAACATATAAATTTTATAATTATCCAACAATTTCATTTTAAAGCATAAAATTTTCTTTTTATCTTTTGCTCTTCCTTTATCAGACGTTTTTGAGCGATAACTTCTTAAGGAAGCATTTTTCGACCCTTGTTTATAGGAAATTTTTTGTTCAGAATTAAATTTCCTATAAGATCTCAAAGTCTGGCTGGAACGTTGGGGCCACCCTGTGTGTATATATATATATCTATATATATATATACATATACATATATATATACACATGTCATTTATATCGTTTATTTTTAAAATACATCTTGCAAAAAAGAAGAATAAGAAACACATTATATTTCAAATGCTAAAACGAAAATTTCTTATTGCAGTCACATTTATTTCTTAATAAATACTATTATCATTTACATGCTTCCGAATGCGGAAGAAAGAGACACACATTTCTTTTATATTATATTGAAACATAATTTCTACAAAATAATTGAGCACTTGTTTGTCGTCGACTTTACATATTGCTAAAATATTGTGATTCAAAATTCAATAAAACTGAAGAAACGAAAATTTTGTTTCATTATTTAAGAAATAATTTTTACATGTTTTGCTTTTCTAAAATAACAAATTGTAATCTTTGCTATATACAAGATCTAATATAAGAACCACATATATATAAGGTCTTGCAAAAATACATGTAAATAATAATAATCTACACTCATTATTTCGGTGGATTTTTCTTAAATTCATTTTTTGACTCTTCCAGCTGTTGCTTTAATTGCTGTGCAATATCTCGCAACTGTTTAACAAAGTCTCGCGGACTAGAAATAGTACGGTTTCCGTGAATCATACCTGTTCTAATTAGTACATACACTACAAACTGTGCACTTTGTCTAATTGGTTTGGATTCTGCCAATTTATTAATCAAATTTTCATTATTTAGGAAATAATGAAACAGAGCTCTGAAAAAACGCATTTTTGGAAGATATAAGATTGCTTTTCTATATATTTGCAAACAACAAATGTGCACATTTATATTTTTGGTATTTCAAATGTACACATATTACGATATTTTAATAAAAGTTCACGCTTTAGTCTCAACTGCTGGCGTGAAATCTCCAGTCTTTGTAACTGCTCTTCTTGACTATATTCTATTCCAGATAATCTCTTAATCTATAAAGTATAACAAATATTATGCAATATTATGCAAAGCATTCTGATTATATAAAATACATTTGCTTATATGTACACAGAATTTTAACTTTTACTTGCGATCTTACAGAATCTAATTTCTTCTGCAATTCTAGGATTTTGTGGCTGGTATCCTGCGACTCTTTCGCCTTTTGCGTAGTGTCATGTGGATCTTTTTCAACACTAGAAATTATAAATATTATTACCTTATGTCAATATACAAATAATATAAAATGTATAGCCAAATATATCTATCTGATTAATGATTCATATACAGGGTGACCCCGTTCCAGCCAAACTTTGAGATCTTATAGGAAATTTAATTCTGAACAAAAAATTTCGGGGGAGGAAGAGCAAAAGGTGAAAAGAAAATGAAATAAAAAGAAAATGAAACTAAATAAATTTCTTGAAAAAGACGACAAAAATAAAAAATAAAAATCTTTTTCTTTTATGAAAATAAAATAATTTTTTTTTAATTAACTTTTACTTTATTTTCATAAAGAAAAAAATTTTTATTTTTTATTTTTATCGTTTTTTTTTCAAGAAATTTATTTAGTTTCATTTTTTTTCACCTTTTGCTCTTCCTTCATCAGAAGTTTTTGAGCGATAACTTCTTAAGGAAGCATTTTTCGACCCATGTTTATAGGAAATTTTTTGATCAGAATTAAATTTCCTACAAGATCTCAAAGTCTGGCTGGAACGTTCGGGGCCACCCTGTAAATATATAGGATGAGTCACATAAGACCAGTCACCCAAATAACTCGTACAGTTTTAGTGATAGGAAAAAATGTTTGAAGTAAAAATTATTTATTATCAAGGGAGACATCATATTACGGGGAAAATTTTTTTTTAGGTGAAAGTACATAGGAGATTTGAAGGTCAACTTAAAAATTTTAAATGGAAATCCTTATTTCTTATTACATATTCTCGTAGCTTATCTCAAGAGCTTTCCAAAACACTATAATTAAGTTATTTTTCATTAAATATTTTTCGAATTATAAGACTCGAAGTAATTTCTTAATTTTATATAAACTGTAAAATATTTCATAAAATATTCATTTTTCGATGATCTTAGTTCAATACTTTTATGCACAAAATGAGAAGAATTAATGAGAAGAATTAATTGGTGTAAAGAAAACATAGTTGTTTCTAAGAAAAAATATGTAATTGTTAATTGCAAATTATATATTTTTTTTTAGAAACAATTCTATTAGTTCTATTATATTATTGCTTACAAATTTGATCAAATATCTTATAAATATCCTGCATCAATTTTTAATCATTTTACACACTTTTATCATCATTTTATATTTTTCTACAGTTATCGATCACAGATATTCATATCGCAATAGATGAATAGACATAAGTAACATAGAATAAATAAAAAAATCGATATGAGAAAGAAGTAACATAAATATATTTGCCCTTTTCCTTTTGAAACAGTGATTTATTTATAGCACTAGTGAGCTGCCATAATAATGCAGCGCATTTTATACTAAACTATTTTAATTAATTATATATAGACATTTATTTACCACGAACAGCATACATGACGTTGATGCATGAATCGAGTCAGAATAAAAACAAATAAAAAATACATTATGATATATATTCGATATTTTAATTAAGAAGAGAAATCACTTAAAATTTTTTTTAAAGACAATATTGGAAAGAAAGATTTTAATTCTAGCCAATTTGAGGTTATGCGTACAATTTATTCACACCATTGAAATATATACCATACTGGAAGGCGCACAGGCTACCCCCTCCATTCGTCAAAACGGTCAGACAAGGCAGTGACTCGGTACCGGATTTCTCTTTCTATCTCGTCTACTCTCTTAGCTGAAAACATTCGCCTTGCGCACACATATATACATATAGACATATATACATATACATATAGGACAATTTATACATACATATTATATATTAACAATTTTTATTAAACAATATACATTGTTTTTATTAAATAATTTTATAATGTAAAAATAAATTTTAACATATAAATTTTATAATTATCCAACAATTTCATTTTAAAGCATAAAATTTTCTTTTTATCTTTTGCTCTTCCTTTATCAGACGTTTTTGAGCGATAACTTCTTAAGGAAGCATTTTTCGACCCTTGTTTATAGGAAATTTTTTGTTCAGAATTAAATTTCCTATAAGATCTCAAAGTCTGGCTGGAACGTTCGGGGCCACCCTGTGTGTATATATATATATCTATATATATATATACATATACATATATATATACACATGTCATTTATATCGTTTATTTTTAAAATACATCTTGCAAAAAAGAAGAATAAGAAACACATTATATTTCAAATGCTAAAACGAAAATTTCTTATTGCAGTCACATTTATTTCTTAATAAATACTATTATCATTTACATGCTTCCGAATGCGGAAGAAAGAGACACACATTTCTTTTATATTATATTGAAACATAATTTCTACAAAATAATTGAGCACTTGTTTGTCGTCGACTTTACATATTGCTAAAATATTGTGATTCAAAATTCAATAAAACTGAAGAAACGAAAATTTTGTTTCATTATTTAAGAAATAATTTTTACATGTTTTGCTTTTCTAAAATAACAAATTGTAATCTTTGCTATATACAAGATCTAATATAAGAACCACATATATATAAGGTCTTGCAAAAATACATGTAAATAATAATAATCTACACTCATTATTTCGGTGGATTTTTCTTAAATTCATTTTTTGACTCTTCCAGCTGTTGCTTTAATTGCTGTGCAATATCTCGCAACTGTTTAACAAAGTCTCGCGGACTAGAAATAGTACGGTTTCCGTGAATCATACCTGTTCTAATTAGTACATACACTACAAACTGTGCACTTTGTCTAATTGGTTTGGATTCTGCCAATTTATTAATCAAATTTTCATTATTTAGGAAATAATGAAACAGAGCTCTGAAAAAACGCATTTTTGGAAGATATAAGATTGCTTTTCTATATATTTGCAAACAACAAATGTGCACATTTATATTTTTGGTATTTCAAATGTACACGTATTACGATATTTTAATAAAAGTTCACGCTTTAGCCTCAACTGCTTGCGTAAAGTCTCCAGTTTTTGTAACTGCTCTTCTTTACTATATTCTATTCCAGGTAATCTCTTAATCTATAAAGTATAACAAATATTATGCAATATTATGCAAAGCATTCTGATTATATAAAATACATTTGCTTATATGTACACAGAATTTTAACTCTTACTTGCGATCTTGCAGAATCTAATTTCTTCTGCAATTCTAGGATTTTGTGGCTGGTATCCTGCGACTCTTTCGCCTTTTGCGTAGTGTCATGTGGATCTTTTTCAACACTAGAAATTGTAAATATTATTACCTTATGCCAATATACAAATAATATAAAATGTATAGCCAAATATATCTATCTGATTAATGATTCATATACAGGGTGACCCCGAACGTTCCAGCTAGACTTTGAGATCTTATAGGAAATTTAATTCTGAACAAAAAATTTCGGGGGAGGAAGAGCAAAAGGTGAAAAGAAAATAAAACTAAATAAATTTCTTGAAAAAGACGACAAAAATAAAAAATAAAAATCTTTTTCTTTTATGAAAATAAAATAATTTTTTTTAAATTAACTTTTACTTTATTTTCATAAAGAAAAAAATTTTTATTTTTTATTTTTATCATTTTTTTTCAAGAAATTTATTTAGTTTCATTTTTTTCACCTTTTGCTCTTCCTTCATCAGAAGTTTTTGAGCGATAACTTTTTAAGGAAGCATTTTTCGACCCATGTTTATAAGAAATTTTTTGATCAGAATTAAATTTCCTACAAGATCTCAAAGTCTGGCTGGAACGTTTGGGGCCACCCTGTAAATATATAGGATGAGTCACATAAGACCAGTCACCCAAATAACTCGTACAGTTTAAGTGATAGGAAAAAATGTTTGAAGTAAAAATTATTTATTATCAAGGGAGACATCATATTACGGGAAACATTTTTTTTAGGTGAAGGTACATAGGAGATTTGAAGGTCAACTTAAAAATTTTAAATGGAAATCCTTATTTCTTATTACATATTCTCGTAGCTTATCTCAAGAGCTTTCCAAAACACTATAATTAAGTTATTTTTCATTAAATACTTTTCGAATGCTAAGACTCGAAGTAATTTCTTAATTTTATATAAACTATAAAATATTTCATAAAATATTCATTTTTCGATGATCTTAGTTCAATACTTTTATGCACAAAATAATGAGAAGAATTAATTGGTGTAAAGAAAACATAGTTGTTTCTAAGAAAAAATATGTAATTGTTAATTGCAAATTATATATTTTTTCTTAGAAACAATTCTATTAGTTCTATTATATTATTGCTTACAAATTTGATCAAATATCTTATAAATATCCTGCATCAATTTTTAATCATTTTACACACTTTTATCATCATTTTATATTTTTCTACAGTTATCGATCACAGATATTTATATCGCAATAGATGAATAGACATAAGTAACATAGAATAAATAAAAAAATCGATATGAGAAAGAAGTAACATAAATATATTTGCCCTTTTCCTTTTGAAACAGTGATTTATTTATAGCACTAGTGAGCTGCCATAATAATGCAGCGCATTTTATGCTAAACTATTTTAATTAATTATATACAGACATTTATTTACCACAAACAGTATACGTGACGTTGATGCATGAATCGAGTCAGAATAAAAAAAAATAAAAAATACATTAAGATATATATTCGATATTTTAATTAAGAAGAGAAATCACTTAAAATTTTTTTTAAAGACAATATTGGAAAGAAAGATTTTAATTCTAGCCAATTTGAGGTTATGCGTACAATTTATTCGCATAGTTTGCGAATTATGTGAAAATCGAAACAATGATTTTTCTCTCCTTTAAAAATACAAACCTACGAATAATCTCGTAGATAAGCGGCAGGATCTCTATATCTAAATCGTCGACGGTAAATTGCGTTGTCCTCAGGGAGACATCCTCTGGCAGCTCCACCGTCTCCATTACGTCTCGTAATAACCGTGCACCCTCAAGCTCCCCAGCCAGTAACGTACACAGAAATTAAATTTCCCAGGCACCAAAAAATTCAGCTTAATTTGCTCTTTCATATAGTGCGTTCGAAAATATGTTTGATTGGTGTTGCAAAAAAAGATAAAGTTGGCAGTATTGAAAACTCCCAGTGCTGCGTTTCGTTTCTCCCACTGGGATCACTAGGATTAAACTAGGAAAAAAATTTGCTACTTGAGATATTAAAAGAGGTAAATAAGTAGTTAAATATATTTTATAATAATATGTTTAATAACATCACATATATTATTATTAATACGAACGTGTGTTTTAATATGTTAGTATAATATTAATATTTATTAATGTTAGTATATAATATTAATATTAGTATAATATTAATACAGAATTAATATATAATATTAATAATGTTATAATTATAATAAAGTGACATAATTTACCTAAAATATGATTTAAATTTAATATTTGTATATGGTAACAATATTTTCCAAATAATCTGTTATTTTTGATACTATTTTCCTTTCACCTCTATTGTTATTACCTCTATTTTCGAATAAAATATTTTGTAATTCTTCATTATTATCATCACTATCTGAAGAACTACTCGAAGATTCAAAAATGATGTTTTCGAGTAAAATATATTGTTCCATAATAAAAATAGTGTAATTGCAACACTTTCATATATTGTACATACGGTACAATACAATCCTAATGATCCCAGTGGAAGAAACGAAACGCAGCACTGGGAGTTTTCAATACTGCCAACTTTATCTTTTTTTCCAACATCGACCAAACATAGGGTGCTTTCCAATTGAGATATCCCTAGACACTTTTATGCACACGGCGACACAAGTCGCGTTCCAATTGCCGTAACTGCCGACACAACTTTACACATCCGTACTCAGCTCGAGGGCTACTAGTCAACTTGTGTAACCTTCTGTTTTCTAGGGACAAATGAAATATGCGGTTACAGACTGACGGCGATTATGTTGGCAATTTTCTTTTCGTTTTATTTTTTTTAATTAAAAGACAACCATTAAAGTACACCATACAAATACAAAAATGGACAATAAAAATATTAAAAGTATCATTGAAGTAAGTAATTCAAATTAATGAGTTTTTGTACAATTAATTTTTTTATTATATTTAATAAATAAAATAAAATTGTCTCTTTTGCATATTTGCAGGTTAGATATATTACTGATTAAATTTTCATTCATATTTATATATTAATATAATATGCATTTATATATTTTATTTATATATTATTTATATATTATATAATATTATGCATATATATACATCTATGTATGTTAATCCATTTTATATATCGATGCTATCACCCTCAGCATGGATTAAAAAATATCAAGATGGACATGGTTATGAAGAATCCTAACCCTCCACTCGAAAGTCGCACATTAACTTTGTTCCAATTGAGTCGTGCACATCGCTACACTTTGTGCCTTCCTGTGTATGTTTGTGTTAAGATGTGTTAAACAATTGGAAAGCACCCATATTTTCCAACGTATTAAATATGTTTGATTGGTGTTGCAAAAAAAGATGAAGTTGGCAGTATTGAAAACTCCCAGTGCTGCGTTTCGTTTCTTCCACTGGGATCATTAGGATTGTATGTACAATATATGAAAGTGTTG